AAGTTTTGTCGATGGGGTTGTAAACATTTCTTAATTGGTCTACTAGGGTTTGTTAAATTTTTACTGCCAGGTATTTGGCTTAAGTATAGAAGGTAGTTATTAAGAGAAGAAGGGGGGCCTATTTTTAGGAACCCCCACATTGGCCCCTTCTCTAGTATCTGTGATTATTTCTCATGTAACATGTGTAGGAATTTCATTTCATTTATTCCTTTTTAAAACAAAGATGTTATATACATAATTAAATTAATGGAGTGGATGTTTTTAAAGATAAATTTATGAATAGTTAAATTTTGAAATAAAAATGGAAAGTCGAAGAAGACATTCTCGTGGTCGTAACAATTCTTCTTCCAGAAGGAATTCTTCTAGTTCCCGAACACCTTCAAGAAAGTCTTCTAAGGATTTATCTCCTACCTTCTATTTAGATTCGAAAGTTGACAGTGGTGATTTAGATGAAGTCTGTGAGTCATGAGTTATAATATGTTTTTAGTTATTATGGTAAAACTCGTATCTGCTATGTATTGTGCTGTTATACAGAGGAATCAATAGATACTTCTTTTATTTTGTGTATTAATAAGTCTTGTATTTTCTTATCTCTTGAAGTTTTCATAGAATCTTCAAATTTCTAATAATTAAACTCTGCATATTTATGTAGACACTGGTGGATTTTTTCCCATTTAAACTCAAACATTGGTCTGTAGGACTTCTGTTTCATGGAAGCTGAAGAATGCTGTAGTAAGCTGTCGTGTCTATATTTAGTAAAGACACCAACTTGCATCTATTTTAGTGAGCTTTACCCCCTCACTTTTGTCTATTTTTTATGTCAATAGGTTATCTTAAATTTATATATATATGCTTTTATTTTGTCGATCATATGCAAATTTCAATTATTATTTTTTATTTTATTTTAGTACTGTTTTAACTGAAAATATTTCTTTCTTTTTTATTTAGTTCCTATTTTGTTTTACAATTATGAGAACTATTGTGTACTTCCAGAAAATTATATTTGCTTACTTGTTTTTATGGTATTATAGTTCAGTTAAAAAAAATTAACTTTTGTAAAATATCGTATTCTTTCAATTAGAGGTTGCTTCAATTGTTTTCCTTCTGACTATTTTCAATTAAACAAATCCTAAATTATGAAATATATTTATTTGGATTCATTAATATTTAATGCAGATTCCTTCCAAGTTATTAAAGTGTTTTTTAACGATTTCTTGTTAAGAATATTTTTCCTCTGGATGTATTTAAAGTAACACTTACCAAAACTAGGTCTATTAATTATTGTTGAGTTTATAAATACTGAAAAGATTTCTTCTAGCTTCTTTCCCAACATTTCTGAATTTATGTCAGTATAAAAATTAACTTTTTTTTAGACATTTATTTGTTCTTTTCTTTTTCTGTATATTTTTAGAGTTTATAATTTTGTATGCCCAATCAATCCAATAATTTTTTTTTTAATTAGTCACATGTTTTGACAATTTTTTTTTAGATTTAACCTACTTTATTTTAGTTAGTTTACATTTTAATTCCTTTTTTTTAAATAGTTGTTCAAATAAATAGTTTAAAGCTACCAGAATTGGACGTACCCACCCATATTCATCTTAATCACTTTGTTTTTGTACCTGATCAACTCAGGAAAACTGCTATATTTCTTTTGCAAAAATGTAGCAATGATAAGGTAATTCAAATAATATATTAATTGTTTTGTGATATTAGTATATATAAAATTACATAATAGAACAATCTTGGAAACACTGCGTTACTTAAATAAGCTTTTAATAGAGCATAAGTAATATGTATATATATACAACTGTTTCGGAACCATATATTTAGCCCTTTAATTTTTTTGGGTTTGGAAACTTTTTCTGCATGCCCTCTTGCTACTTTTGACTTACAAGGACTTAACAGTATTAATAATAGTCATCTTTTTAAACAACAGGATGTTGGTTACATAAAATGAATAATGTAATGTATGTATGTATAGTATCTATCGTATGTTATATTTTTTGTGTGTGGATATCAAGTTAAAAATGTTTTAAAAGTTATTTTGAATTTTTTGTCATTTACATTTAAAGAATACTTATGTGGCCTTCTGTTTCAATTTTTATTAAAAGTTGAAGTTATCTACGCTATCAGTGATTTAGCAACACTTTAGGAGAGGGGGGCTCTTGCAATAGGCCCAAATACCATACTATGGTTCTCTCTTCTGGAGTAATCCTATTAATCAGTATTAGTGCTGTTAAGACAAAGTTATTATCTCATTACTTTTATTATTGATTAATTTTTCAAGAAAATGTTTTAGATTTTAAGTCCAGCAGTAATTTATAATAAATGCATTCAATATTTAATTTCTGTAAAGCTAAATATTTTAAGCTCTCAATGCTTAAAATATATTAAATTGATAGTTGTGAATGACCCTGTAAAAAAGTGTTATTAAGTTCATTTCTTTTGTCAAGTTGAGACGTGAGTTTTTTAGCAGTTAACATTAACAGTTTTCTTATAAAGTTTTTGTCTTATAATTTAAGTGATTTTCTTTATATTCTTGTGATAATAGGATTTTATTTAGTCAAGTTGCATTTGAAAAAAAAAAAAAAACAATTTTAAAGTCTTTGTTTATAAAGTAAGGTAAGAATTTCCTAAATTCTGAAAGACATATATTTCCGAAGCCAAGATTCATTTTTACAGCTATTGAATAACAAAAAACAGTAGCAAACCAACTACTTTTTTGTGTTTAAAAAAAAAAACTGAACTTAGTAATACTTTAAATGGATAAAATGTTTAAAAATATACAAAGATGATATATTGAGTTTCCAGTTTATGAGGTGCTTCAAGATTTCTTTTAATGAGGCATCTAAAAAACAATAATGAAATTGAGAATCTTTGATTCTCAAATCCTGTGAAACACTTCAACATTAATAGTAAAATGCCATTTTTGTAACTAATTAAAAGGTTATAAAAGAGGTGATTTAATAGTAATATCTGTAAATATTTATATTAGCAAAAAAAATGTTAATTAAAGATTAGGATCTTGATATATTTACTATTTTGATTTACTTAAGTCTGAAAGTAATGTATTTTATTAATGCCTGATTAATTATTTAGTCATTTAGACATGTGTATGTATACATATATGTATATATAGGTTATATTACACGTGAAAGAACTCTTATAAGGCGTGTCCAGACATGCTCCACTATATCATAACATGACACTTGTCATATGTTAAATTTGGATCTTATAGCATTCCGTAGCCTTGTCTTTTTTTTTTTCAGCGTAACATCAAAGACAATCACATTGTATAACTTCCTGGCAAATTTGGATAGAATTGCCAAACAGTCTCCTATTTTCAATTTTTTATGGAAAGTTATGTTGCTATTTATTATAGCTGTGATGTTTATTTAATGCCATAAGCAATGTCAAAGGAATAGCTATTATACAATTAGTATATTTGAAAAAAAAAAAAAAAATGTGTGCTCTCAACTATGTAAAAATATAAGTAGCATTATATGGCTTAATATCATAAAGGAGGAAACTTTTTTATCATTAAAAACGACATTTAGGTCAGTCAGTGATAAACGAGAGTGCTTTATATTTTTGTTTCAGTGTTCTTATATGTTTGAGAATATGTGTATAAATTTATACTATGTCCTATTGCAGACATAAAATGTGGTGGATCATTAGATTATTTTTATTTGAATTTAAGTGTGCCTGTACTGTTTAAAACACCTACACTTTTTATCTGTCATTTCAAATGCTGCTGTTCAGTTTGAATTCTGCCTTCTACTTCCTCTTATATATGCGTAAGCATATCTAACTTAGTATAGTAACTGACGTTAGTAATCAAAAAGAATTACAATTATTTTTGTTATTATTATTATGACAAGAAGATACATAAACAAGAAATACAAGATCATGCTCTACCACTAGGTTTTTCCCTTACGCCCTCACGGCAGATGACAGAATAAATAATGCATGTTGGAATTAGCCCAAAGTTAGGAGGAAGTTAGACATTAGTGATAAAAATTACAATTTTATTAACTCCCTAATTCAAAATAGTGCTTTTACAGATGTGCAATAATATTTTCCTTGATGTCATAAGTTAAATACGCCTTGTTTGATTTGGTCTGAAGTTTGTGGAAATTTATGGAATATTATATAAATAATCTATTATCAATTTTATCAACAATAAAAATATAAAATGTATGCTGTTAATTAAAAAGAATATTGCTGGCTTGGAAGATGAGTGCCACAATATGAAAATTATCATTTTTCTTTTTCTTTTTTGTGGTTGGAAGTCATCTATTTACCTAAATTTCTTTAGGCAAATATTTCAGGTTTTTAATTTTAATATTGACTTGAGTTTATTTTAGTGATTTATAAAAATCTGCTACATTTTAATTCTTCTATTCATTTTTAAATAATAGAAAATGAAGGTTATTCATCTTTTTTTAAATAAAGAAGGTGTATATAATTGATTAAGAAAAATATTTTAAAGCGTGTTAGAGATAACAATAAACTTGAATTGGCAAGCTAACATCGATTTTTATGTAAAATTTAAATTTTTCTTATTGTGTCACTTTTTTTTTTGCAGTTGCATTCAACTACAATATATTTTTATGATTGTATTTGAAATTTTAATTTTATTCTGTTGTCCAAAGGATTTAATGGGCATAACATGTACTTTAACATAAAAGTGATCATTAAAGCATTTGGTGGATCTCTCTAAACTGCTGTAATGCTCACTATTGAAATTTAACAAGCTTGACATGATTAGTTGTTATTTTGTTATTGTGTAAATTTATTTGATAAGGTTACAATTAATTCTCTGATTTTATTTATTTATTTCAACAATTTAGCTTTACAAACTTTCTTTTCTTCTTTATTGTTTCTTATTAATATATGTATCGTTAGACCACCTACTCTAGTGTTATATTAAAATAAATTTTTTATAGTTTTTATTGATAAGTGCTATAATAAATTTTGTGTGTTCTCTGCTGGAGGTGGTAAGGCATCTTCAAGGCCGAAGCAGAAAAAGAAAGCTAACCTGATGAAGGAGCTGAACCGGCGGGGCCAGGAGAAAGAAGGTGGCTCCGATATGGATGCATTTACCTCATTGCCTCCTATCTCGGCGGCTACCAACGCTTCTCTCGACTCGAAGGCTTCCTCATCTCCTCCCCCTGCTCCTGCTTCTGCTCCTGCTCCAGCTCCAGTAGTTCAGCAGGCTGAGGTTTGACTTTTATTTTCTTAATTATAATTACAAGACATTTTTTCTTAATTATGAATTATGTGGCTAATTTGTAACAGTCATTGTATTTTTCCTATCAATTGTATTCCCATGGTTGTCTATTAATTAAAATATGTTTGATTTTATAGTTTAGAATGTATTGTTTAATGAATTTCCTTAAATTATAGTACCATTTTATCTTCAACAACAATTACTGATATCTTGCAGGTCGTGCCGCCTCAACCTGCCGATCAGGCTCCTGTTGTCAGCCAGCAACAACCTTCTGTAAATACCCAGCAGCAGCCACCGTTGCCATCTACCCCTGTGTCTGATAGCCCGGCGATTCCACAAACAACTATCATTCCACCTGCTGTTACAAATAAAAACATAGATAATGAGGTAAGGCTTAAATATTTTAAATTTTTGTTTTATATTATTTTGTTATAAATTCCTAACACTCGAGGAATTTTACAAAAACTTTATGGCCAGCAAAATTTTAAAATTTTGTGAAACATAATAATAATTTATTTACTCTCCCTCTACCTCAACTAAGGACGTTTATTATTTCTTATTTAAGTTAGAATTTATAATTCCTCAGTTTCAAAATTTATACTGGCGTTAAGCGTTTCAAACTTAAAGGAACAACTTTCGTTTTGCCTTTAGTCCAGTGTATAGTTTTTGTGACAGATAAAACATTTAATACTGCCGCAGTTAAACCAATTCTTATGAAATATACAGGGATATTTCACTGTAGCACTGCGAGTGGCAATAGGCATTGCTTTCACTTACGATGCATTTTTTAAGACACATAATTGTTTAGTGAGAGATTTTTGTTTAAATCATTTTACAGAGTACGTTGGTAGATGGCAAATAAATCAGTGTCAATATTTACTTTTAATAATTTATAATTTCCTTTTTTTCTTCTTTTTTTTTAAGTCACTTTGATTTCCTACTAATCTGCGATCGCAGTTAAAATGACAACTGCCTATATCAATTAACCAAATACTAAATTGTTCCAAAATCCTATCTTTGTTAATAACTGAGTAATTAAATATATTCTTAAATAGGAAACATCATTCTTTTTATTAGCATTAATTATTTCTATTTCCTTTATTTATCATTTTCATTATACGTATAATATTTGATTCAATGGATTTTAAATAAAGGATTAAAATAAAAAGGCTTATAGAGTATATTTGATTAATGTAATGATGTACTTGAACAGAGTGGCAACTGACCAGGAAAAATAGGAAAAGTTAGAACATTTTCAAAATGGAATAGTTGTTTAATTCAGGGAATTTTTTAGTACGTAAATATTGTTTTCAAATTGGAAATAAATATACAATGGATATTGTTTATAATGACCGTAAAAAGGGATAAACTTCATTGTTATAAACGACCACAGTCGCTATATTCATCCACCTTTGACTCAATAATTGCACAGGTCGTTATATTGAAATCAAACAAGAGTAATGAATAAAATTTAAGCAAAATAGACTTTTTTAAAAAGAAGAACTTACCAATATTATTTATTATTTGTAATATATACATCACTATTTATAGATAAATGTCCATTAGAACATTTTTCAATCCTAAAATGTAGAGTCTGATTGAGCATTAACTTTTTATACAATTGTGTTTAACACGTGTATTTCATCATCATGAACTGTCGGCTAAACCCGTGAATTCCATTTATTGGTTTACTAAAAGAGAATGCTGGCAGTTCCACAGGTTTTTTTTTTTTTTTTTTTAACAGTATTGTTTCTGGAGCAGAATCTTTGTATCCATCCTTACAAAATATTTGTTTGAGGTTAATTAAATAGATCGTGAATTGATGATAATTATTTTTTAGTCTTTGCGAGTAAAATCTGCCTTAATCCTGATAATGGAATATTCACAACAACCGATTTTGTTGTTATTTATTATAAATGTCTTTCATGTATAATAAATAAGTTTATTTTGTAAATTATACATTTTTAATATTTGTTCTTCAGACATATTAGTCGGGGAAAACTATCATTAAATAGAATTTTACTTGAACGATCTGGTAGCCACCCTGTTATAGGAAAACTAAATGAAAACGTATCTAGATTAGATGATTTTTTTTGTTTCATGTAGCAAGATGAGGGCATGGGAGAAGAAGAGGTGGCTGAAGAAGTGGAAATAATGGTGGCAGTTAAAAATGAAGAAAACACTAAAGCTTCCGCTGCTGCTAAAGAAAAAGTAGTTGCAGTTAATGATGTTGATGAGAGCATTGTGATTGAAACTACAGTGATTGAGAGGTCTAAGCCTCCTGTTCTCAAGTACACCTATAAAGAAGGTAATACTAATGCTTAAACATTTTTACCTAAATATTTCTTAACACTTGTACTTTTTTTTTGTATTTAATAATTTTTCTTTTGAATAGACCAATGGTCGCCGTTGAATCCTGATGGTAAAAAGGTGTATGATCGAGACTTTCTATTGGGCCTGCGGACTGAAGCTCTTTCGATAAAGCGACCTGATATTGAAGACTGTGACATAATTAAGACTGATGGTAGTTCCAATAACAATGTTTCATCTAACAACAACAATAGGGTGAGTTTATTGATAATATGAATTAATTAACTAAATAATTACTTTCTATATCTAATAAATATCATTTTACAGCACATTTTTATATTGAAAAATATAATTCATACTTTTTTCTTTTTGTCCCTTTTATTGTAGAGGTTACATGGTTCTAACAGCATGGGTATGAACAGAGATGAGAGATTCATAACACCACCTTTCCTGAGCAGGGCTTCTTCAAGCCAGCGAGGAGGAGTATGTTTTCTTTATTCTTTGCTACTATATTTCTATCATAAAACTACTTGCTGTTGTATTTATAAGTAACCAACCACATTCTGCAGAAAATAAATCAAGCCTTGAAGAAGTAACTCTTGATTGATCTCAAAGTGTAATAGACTATTCCCAAAAAGATTTTGAGATGGCTTGCCACTTTTTTGTAACTTGAAATTGGAGCTAAAAATTTCCTAGAACTGATTTCTAGATAAAAAAAAGAAAGAATTGTTTTTCTTTTTCTAGCATTATTTCTACAACTTCACAGAGATTTTTGTATCAGCAAGTAAATTAATTATTTGCTTGTTCTTTCTTCAATGCTGATTCGATGGTAGAAAAATGGGCATCTTTAGGTAGAAAATAATTTCTTGATTTCATAATCTTGTGATTGATGTGGATTAAGAAAAGCTTAAGGCTTTAATGCTACTCCTTCTCATGTCATTCTGTAATTTGCTTCATCAACTGGAAGTTCAGAATAACACACTTACAAACTGTTATGAGAGACAGAAAAGTTCCTATTTTATTTAATTTGAATTAAGCAAGCAAACTCTTGGCAGGGAAGAGAAGCAGATTTTGATAAACCTGGGGGCTGGGTGGCTGAATGGGCTAACGTGTGTGCACAGCACCGTGAGTTTCCCGGCAACCATATAAATGAAGTGTTATGAGATCAAAAAAGTATGAGTTCTCGCCCTGTTTCCGGAAATTTTAAAACTCCCTCCGTCCTTGGAAAATCCTGTATGGCCTATAAGGCGATGTAGGGAAGAATAAGAAAAGAAAAGATTTTGATAGACTTTTCGAGTCTCTACTTAACCCAGACAGGAACGATTCATGTCCTCTTAAGATAGCAGCCAAAGGATTTTCTTTTATTTCAAAAGGAAGACCACATGGAGTAGCAAACTCTTAACAGTCCAGTAAGGGACTCGAACACTTGAAAAAGAGATTAAGTAATATTATTTTATTTAGCCACCAATCCATCTAATCAAGCAATAATTAATTAAATTCACATCAAATTTTACCAATTAACCCACATTATAATAAATTTAGCCATACAACTACAACATTATAATATTTGCTAAAGTATTGCAATCATTTTTACCCCATATTTTACTTAATCAATTAAACATCCCATTCAGTCCATAGAAATTAACTAAGAATCAGCTAAATGTAGCAGATCTATTACGACAATATCTCCCTGCCTCTCTCGCTGATAGTGATAAAAGGATTTGGCATAATAAATTTAACAAACATTAAATCTAAATTCACAGACAGAATTTGCTACTTTACTTTCTTTACTAATGTTTTACACTATTGAAGTATTAAAATCAAAATACTTTTTTGCTGATATAGAGAATAAGATGGTTGGTTGATGGTAAGATAGTGATACTTGAGTAGTTGTAAAGTAGAATTTTCTGACAATTTGCAAATTTAAGGCTGGTCCTTTCTGCGGGTGTGGTTCAACCAAATGATTGCTACAGATAGTGTATGTATGATATCATTCATATCATGCTTATAAATATTTTCTGCTTAATGACTGATCATATAATAATAACTTTATTATGATCATAAATTGTCGGTTTATTGTAAAAAGTCGCTAAGTACATATTTGATAGAGCTGAACTTTTAAGAACATTTTTATTTCTTTTGACCTTGAAAAAACACGTCAGTGTACAAAAATGGTTTATAATCTTTTATCGAATAGTTTTAACAAGCGCACAATTTACTGATTTCACTGATGGAAAATTAATTTTAATCAAAGTTTTTAGTTGTGATTAAAGGTTATGAAATGTCACTTACTGACTTCTTGCAATAAACTGGAGAAATATTTGTAATTATATTTAATAAGTGTCTGTTGTGGCTACGCTTATAACAAAAATATTTAAAGATTTAAAACTACTAACCAACATTGTTCAGTGTTCTAACATTTAGAAATGTTAAATCCCAAATTAATAAATTATTTGCTTGTACATATTAAAATTCTTTCTTAAAGTTCATAGTGTTGTGAAAGCTAGTTGAAGATGATATGCTAGTCATTAAAAAAATAAGTATGAAATAATTACTTATTAAAAACAGCTAAATAATATTTTTTAACATTTTTTCAGGACATCTTATGTAATTTAAAGATCTATTCTTAACTGTATTGTTTCTTTAAGTGCAATATTTCTGTTTTGTTTTTTTAATTATATTTATTTTTCAAATGTAGAATCATTTTTTAGTACATTATAGTATCTATTTAGTTATAATATATATTATAATATAACTATTTAGATTTTATTCCTAACGAAAAAATCTTTTTTTTCCATGGCTCCTTTTATGTTGACTTAATCTTCCAATAACTATCTTTTTAAGGCCTACTAGTTCTTATTAGAAAAATATACTGAATGAAAATTTCAACTGCATTCCTATTTTAAACGTAATAATTTCAAATTAGCCATCTAGTTATAAGAAATAGTTTAAAGTGTATAATATGATAATATAATACTATAACATAATGATAAAAAATAATATTTGTTTACTTAATAACGACTCTTAATACATTTATGTCAGATTTCTTTTTTCCCACAGATGATGGGAAAGAGAGGATCGCAACAAGGAAGACCTGGCGGTGATAGAAGGAGTGGAAAAATTATGTACTCAAGTTCTCAATATAAGCCTGATGTTGATGAAGATCTCCATTGGGCCGGAAAACAAGGTTGGAAGCCTGAGCGTTGTAAATCTCCTCCCAAACTTTCTGAGGAAGAGATAAAGACTGAAGTGAGTTCATTCATACATTTATTAAAATCATTTGAGAAATCGGTAAAGTTAAAAAGATGAAGAAAAAATATTATTTTTTTTTTTTTACAATATTTTATCCTTGAAAATGTATTTCCTAAAATGTGGATAAGCCTGCAATGTGATAGATTTTAATGCAGTAAATAGTACAGTATAGTATACCTATCTGAAACAGGTAGTTATATGGAGTAGATAAACTTTAAATACATGCAGACATTTCTGTTGCTCAAAGAAAAAAAAAAAAAAGTTTTAAATTATAAGAATGCTTTAATTAAAACTATTAGTTATTAATTATATAATAAATTAATAGATGAGGATAAAGGCAGATTAGAATGAATCAATTAGTTACAATAGCAATGCGGAATAGGTAACATTTGCTAGGCTGTTAAAATTTTTCTCATGTTATGTATTGCCATTGTTCTTATATCTTTTACAAAAATATAAGATAAATATATATGTATTATTGGTTATTAATAAAAATTAAGAGTAAATTAAAGCTATGGCCAAAACAATTTTTGCCTTGCCACGATTCATTATTCTGAAGAAAAGTTTCTTGGGAGATTCTACAATCAATTACATGTAATACTGAGATTGATATTGATTTCTCAGTAAAATGGTTAAAAAGAGAACAAATCTATGGCGAAACTGTAGGATTTTGTTCAGCAACCAGGCCATGGCATGTAGAAAATATATATTGAAAGATAATCTGACCACAGATGAATGTCTCCTTTGTCTTGAGACACATGCGAGACTTCAGCTGGGGCAGAATTCTTGATACAACATAATAATGTTGCCGAAATATGTTATCTAAGTATATGCAGAGCTTTTTAGGTGTGGTTGGCAATGAAATATATTCTATTATCGATATATCCCAGAAAACATCAGTGTAAAAGTTTATTGGCTTGAAAATATAATAATGTACCATAGGATATTGCATAACCGCCCAGATATTTTGGTTCTGAATGAGACAAATAAAATTACTATTGTCATAGCTATAGTACCTCTGGCACCAATTTTTCAGAAAATTCCTCAGTCAATTCCTGGCGCTTCCACGTAATCTTTAAATATCTTAACCATTTATGAATTTAAAGGATGAAACCAACAGGCTGTATCAGATTTTGGAGATATGTTACATAATTGTGTAAAAAATAAAATCAGAAATTTGGTGTTCCATTACCATACGTCAATAAAATTTGGACGTCTCTTCTGGATAAGGAACTACTCATAGGCAGAGAAATAATACAGGGCACATTAGAGTAGAATTGATTGACTTAAAGGACTGCTCTCCTTCAGTTTACCCAGAGTATGTATATATAACACCAATTTCGCATTAAACGGTGACAGTGGGGACAGCCCTTGACCTTCTGCCACAAAAAGTTACCAAGTGTGTTTACAAGAGGCTCAACAATTCTTTAGGAAAATCTACTATTAAAAATCTTTAATAAATACGAAAATATTATCCAGACAGAAACCCATGTGAATTTGTATCCTCCCATTTGACTTTTTTGGTTGAGAGTGAATTAGATTGATCTGTCAGATTTCGAATAATAAATTAAAATATTTCAGATAATAAAACTCAAATCTGTATACTGTAAGGGAGGGAAATGTTAAGAATTTCATCTTCTTTGTAATGAGTTATTATTTATAATTTATATTCTATATTATTAATCTTACTTCATATTATTAAATTTTGTTTTCACTTATATTGTATGGTCTAAAGTACACACCTTGGTTTTTTTTTAATTATTATTCTCTAGTGTTTTATTAGCAGTAGTGTGTTATTAAATATTAATGCTCAACTTCCTGCTACTGCATACATACACCCCTATTGTATTGGCGTGAGATGAAAATTTTTGAATGAAAAAATTTTCCTATCAGAAAACAGTTACTAGAGTACAGTATAATCCTTGTCTGTAAAAGAACTCAGTTAATAAAAATTCTCATATCTGTTTTTGCTTAATTGATCAATTAAAATAACTGGCTATTGAATTACCAATGTAAACTGCCTAGGGTAAGAATGAATGTGCAGAAATAGTATGTTTGAAAAAGAAGGATTAGAGCTATTAATACATAATTTAAGAACCATTTCCCTAAGGGATTTTAATTTATAAATTTTAGTAATGAATGATGTTAATTTTTTTTTCAGAATTTGTACAAAAAAATAAGAGGTATTCTCAATAAGTTGACTCCTCAGAAGTTTGATACGCTTCTGGAACAAATAACTCGTCTTCCTATTGACACTCAAGATAGGCTAAAGGGAGTTGTTGAACTAGTTTTTGATAAGGTATGTACCTGTTTGTCAGATTTAATAACAGAACTTAAATATTTGTATTAAAAAAACTTATGTTTTGTTCTAATATAAAACATATTCATTCCTTCTGTTTTTAATCTTTATTAATTCATTACAGGCTGTAGATGAACCATCTTTTTCGATTGCTTATGCCAAGTTATGCCAGAATTTGAGTAAAATGAGTGTTAAAATTGTAAGAGAAGAGTCCCAAGGAGGTGAAAACAGCCAACCCCATGCAGAAGCCTCATTTAGGAAAGTACTATTAACCAGGTGTCAGCAAATGTTTGAGAAAAAAAGAAAAGAAGAAACTGGAGAGGATGGAAAAAAATCTGATGACGAAAGAATTGCTGAATTGCAACAGTCAGTAGGCACTGAAGAAAACAGGGTAACTACACTATGTCTTTCTGGTAGTTTAGGCTTGCTATTTTTATTTTTCTCCATTATTGGGAGATGCTTTTTAGTTGCAATTTCCATTAAAATTAATATATAAATGAAATCATTGACTATATGTTATAACTGTTATTTAATCATTGTACAATAACTTTATTAAGTATTCAAGTTCTTCCTTTAAAGTTTTTGAATTGTTGTAGGAAAAGAAGAAAGAGTTACAGCTTTTGCTAGAAGAAGAGGAAAGGAAAATACGAGTAAAATATGTTGGCTTAGCAAGGTTAGAAAATAAATTTTTAATTTAAGTCTTTAACTTTTTTCCCAACTAGATTTCATACAAGATTTTAAATATAAATAATTATTCATATCCTTAATATTGTCTTTAATGTAGCTTGCTGTAGTTAAACTCATTATTTCATGAACATTAAATAAATAAACAATTTTATGTTTTTTCTATACAATTTACACTAATTGCATTAAAATTGTTTTATTATTAGGTTTATCGGAGAATTGTTTAAACTGCAAATGCTGACTGCCAGTATCATGCATGGATGCATCAAAACACTCCTCGAAAAAATTGAGGAAGAATCATTGGAGTGTCTATGCAAACTTCTTACTACTGTCGGTAAAGAATTGGAAAGTCAGTGTTCTGATACAAAGGTAAATACAGAGCAGTTTTTTATTTCCAAATGTTTATCTATTCTATTGCATTATTAATCAAATATGGAGATATTATATTATTTTCTGATGAGTAATTAGCTTTACTATAACCATGAAATTCATTTAACTGAAAGTTATTAGTTGAGATTGATCTTTGAATATTATTTTGTAAATAAAATTGTAAGTATTGTTGTACCAAGTGATTATCTTCAATAAATTTAATTTAAACCTCGATGATTAAAAATATCTTATATTTTCTGAACATCTTAAAATTAATGAAGAAAGTATGTCCCCTTAATATGAGAGGTTAACATATTGCCTTATTTATTAGATAATAAAATATTTATTTTTTATTATATCATAATTTAATTTTCTTGCTAATACAGGACATGGACGAGTATTTTGGAAAGATGAGAAAGCTCTCGCAGAAATCATCCAACTCGAAAGTATCCTCTCGCGTTCGATTCATGTTGCAAGATGTAATAGAGCTGCGATCGAATAGATGGGTACCTAGAAGAGATGAGAATAACCCAAAAACCATGGAACAAATTCAACGAGATGCTGAGAAAGAATTGGAAAATGCTGCCATGTCTTCTATTGCTAACCGATCCAAGCATAATGACCGAGATATGGATAGAAGAAGGGGTCAAAGTAAGAAAACAAATCAATTTTATTATAAACTAGCTTTACCCGGTCATGCACTGCTGTGGCTCAGTCTGGCAAAATGGAAAAGAAAAGAGAATAGGAAGCATATATGAGTGAATTAATACCAAGGACATCTGTCATTTTTAAAAAGTAGGGAAACAAATTTGTCTGTAACATAGCTTCAATTTAAACTAATTCTAATGATTTTTTTTTTTTCATGATTCAACTTGAACATTCTTAATCATCAGAGTTAATACGCCGTCATTCTTAATAATTAGAAACAGTCCGAGTTGAAGTTATAAAACTAAAGTTGACTTTATCTCCGCTTTCTGAAAATGACAGAGATTTTGACAGACTTTGATATGAAAACACTCATATTTTCATGCTTAATTTTTTTTAATGTTAAATGTTCAACTTTGTGTTGATTATTTCATAGAAAATAAAAATGTTAATGTTCTTTGTTCAAACTCTTAAATCTCGCAATGTTCTTCACCCATTGCCTTGAAATTTTGGCTTAACTTTGCATTTAAATATGTACGTGGTTTAATATACCTACTATTATAAAATATAAAGTGAAACTATACATATTTATTAAAAATGCACCATCAGTTGGATTTAATAGCAACACATGCTGTTCAAAATATTTTTAATGTTTAAGATTTTCAAATATCATACATAGCAATACATTAGAATTGCGCTATACCATTTCCATAGCGTTCATTTCTTATGCATTAGAGCTGCCTTCCACCTCCCTCAAAAGATTTCGCATACCCCCTCCTAAGATATTGATAATTGCTTGCTTCTTCTTAATAACACCTTGGTTAAATATAGAGTTAAAAAAATTGTAGTGGAAAAATGAACTTAACTCATGAAAGAAGCCCTACAATAAACGGCACAACCTTATTCCAACGTAATGTTAATGAAATTAATTTATTAAAAAATAAAATGAACTGAATTCAATGAAAAACTGATTTCTAAAAGGAACATAAACGGTGATAATTATTACTCAATAATTAAATATTTTTAATTAATAGCAAATCAAATATTTGAGATGTATCATACTACTGTCAGAATACATTATATCAAACTGAAATGCTAAATTGAGAAGATGAGACTGTGAAGAGTTTCAGTGAAACAGGCGAGTATTAGTGGTTGGCAGCGGTCGATGCCATGGGCAGTAACAGCGAAATTGTACCTTTATGCGGCTCAAAACACAGTGCTGTACCCAAATTTACGACTAATTAAATTCAGAAATTTAATAATTATTGATTTGAGATTGTTTTTGCGACAAAATTACAGAACTTTTTTACATTTTCCTATCTATGTTTAAAATATATAGTAAAGGAAATTATTGTGAAAATTTCCGAATCCGAGTTTTTGATTGGATGGTAATTCATGTTTTGATGTCCCCTAATTCTAAATAACCAAGTATCGCAAAATGGTGTGTGCTAGTGTGGCATTTTAAACGTTCGTATATGCCTGGGATGTTAAAAGAACTTTTTCATTAAAATTTTCAAACCGGAAGTGGTACTTTATATCATCAATTTAACACTTTTTTTATGATTTTTGCAAAAATCTAATATTTTTTATTATAAGGAAGGTTTGCTGTTCTCCTACAGGGTATAAATGTTCTTTTTTTTTTTTTTCTTTTTTTTAATTTCCAACTTTTTTAAAATTTATGGTATGTATAAACATAAAGACAATCCTCTTTCTTCAATTATTCACTCTACCCTATAATATAGTATTAGTGTTAAGCTAATTTTATTTTCACTGTCTGATTTATTATTAATTTTAGGAAGTGGTACAAATCAAGATCCGGAGGGATGGTCTACACCTAAACCTGGTTTTAGAAGCTATGCGTTTGACCAATCTAAGCTCCAACATATCAAGGTAACCTTCATTCTTCTCATAAAGATATATACTACTAAATATTTTAGCACAGTACAATTACAATTTTCAAAAATATGCATTTCAAAATTGTTTACTATAAGATTGAGTCATTAGTTGGTTGATTAATGAACGTTATAGTAATATGCAGAATAGAATATATTGAAAAAAAAATGACGTTGTTATTAATTTTATCTATTAAATGATCTATCACCATTTAATTATTTTATATAGCATATTAAATACTACTTACAAAATTTTGCATGGTATGAACATTCGCAAGAAAATGATTGTCTTTATTACTCCAGTTAGAAATTAATCTGTTTTGACATTAAGAAGACAACTTTCCTCTCGATACTAAAACTTATTTTATCCAGCCGTGTTACTCAGCGGGACTAGGAAAGCACTTAGAGAGGGAAGGTTGGCTCCAGGGTGGTTTTTTATTTATTTTTTTAATTTTTATTAGTATTTAATGATAATTTTATTACAAAAACATTACATGTACATTTTTTCTAAAGAACATTATTTTAATAATGATTAAAATAATATTTTTTTAAATTTAATTTTTTTTTCTCTAAGGTTCCTTATATTTTAGAGTGGATAGGTACAGGTACTTTCATATGTAGGCAAGTTAAAGTAAAAATGACTAACTTTATTCAAAACAATTGACAACCATATATTTCCCATCCATTGAATTGTTTAATTTATACATTAGCATCACTTTCCATTTCCTTTTACGACTGTGTATAGTATCAAATAATAATAATGATTTTGGGGGAAAATGGCTCTTCTAGAATAATTCTTAATTTAATCTGAAACATTTATCACGAATCTTGTCAAAGAAATAACTTAATGTTAGTAAATATTGTATATTATTAGGTATCGTGTGTAAACCTGTTTAAATTTATGGATAATGGATATATAAAAGTTGAACTAACAATATGAAAGTCCTTTACTGAGGAGTATCGACTATCTGTAAAGAGAGAGGTTTGGCTAAGATTATTGTGTGTTTTCAGCTGTTTCCGTATAGCTTCCAACCCTTATTTCTCCTTCAGTTGGCGATCAATTTTATTCAATCACTTTTTATATCAATTTATAATGTTAAATGGTTAAATATTACAAATTAAAAAAAAAATGAAGATATTTTGAAAACTAGGCATTTAAACCCTGTTAGAAAATGAGAATAAGACTCACATTGCATTAAAAGCTGCTAAATTTTACACTATTGTGATGAATGAATTCACACACACAGACTGAAGGCACCTCTTCTGTTATAAAATTTAATTATCACAATACTTACAATATATTACATATATAGGTCTACAATGTATCTTAATGGATGATTCTTAACCCTTAACTGATAAATGACATGTGAAATACTAAAAAAAAAATATAATTATTTTATTTAATAATTTTTTTTCAGGGCTTAGATAATGAAACAAGCAGTGTTTTGGGTTGCCCTGCTCAATTCTCTCAATGGAATTTAGGTTCTAATGCTAAAAGAGGAGATGCACCCAAACCGTTTGCACCAACAACCAACAAGTTTGCTCTATTGAGTCAGGATCAGGAGAAGAAAATGCCATCTATGTGAGTATTAACAAGTTTCATCTGTGTTTCTATTTTTTTATTTTTCAAGATACCTCATGTTGGTTATTTCAGTTTTCGAGAATTGACCAAAAACTATTTTATGCAATTAAAATGTTATTTAATAATATTGATTATATAATTGAGCAGGGGGAGGGGAGAGAGGTGGCTAAGTATAGCTAATCTTTTACCACCTAAATTAGTAACTATGTAGGAATGGAGCAATGTAGATATCCTTGTTTGTATATATTTATTTAGTTAAACATGATGTGTATATGTTGTGTTTAATAAAGAAAAAGGTTTTTTTCCAGGAGATAAAATTTATATTGAGTAATATTGCTGTTTTCATCTAAAAAAAAAAAAGAGATCATTTTAAGGGAAAAATATCTTAAAATAAATTATTAAATATGAATCTTGTTTCTTCATTGATTTAATCAAATTTGCTTCACATCTAAGTTCCCTATATGTAAGGAAAGAGATTCAGAGAATCTGCCTCCCATGGCTACCCCAATTGCTTCTTCCTTAACAGAATTTTTCTTGAATTTCCATAAAATTGTAAAAGAGTGTAAGATATATCATAATTTTTTTTTCTTATTTAATTATTACACATTCATAGCTCACTATTTTAAAATCAAATCCTAGTAGGACTTTTTTTTTTTTTTTTTTTATTATCACAATTTTAAAAAAGAAATTTGTTGTTTGATATAAAGATACTTTATTCAATACACAGAAGTTTTATTAATAATATATAATAATACGCTATTAGTGGCTCATGATCATCATTCATTTTTATAGGGCGAGAAAAGTTACACCATCATCATCTCAAGAGAAGGAACGTGCTGTTCAAGGAGTTAGAGATGGTAACTAAATTAAAACATTCTACTTACATGTTCCACATTTATTTAGATTAGTTGATATTTTATAGATGATCGGTTAGTAGTAGTTTAGTACTATCTATCATATCTAGTTCCTTCGCCTTTATTGTTTTTCTCTTTTAATTGTTAAATTGTTTAAAGTAAAACAACGTAATTGAAATAGTTTTTAATTAAAAATGTAGCTTGATCTCCGATTCATTGAAAAGGGGAAAGAGAAGACATGAGTGTGTAATACATTGTAGCAATGATTGAAGCAGCAAAGCCCACTATTTATAATAATAAAGCATTTAATTTATGAGCGATAAGGTGCTGGATTTGAAGGGCCTAATCAGATGATTAATTAATGATAGGAGCCTATTTCGGAGATAGCCATTTAACTACTTCCGAGGTTGAGGGCAGGCTTTAAAATTCATCAAATACCTATATTTTCAGAAGCTGTGTTCAGTGGAGGAGCCCATTCAGTGAGCAAGCATCCTAATTCTGGAAACGGGATCATTTTTCGACTAGCATTTGATTTCCAATGTTGTTTAAAATGATGGAGAGTAATTTTTTTATTGTTATCCCTTTGGTATTTAGAGGTTGATAAGAAAAATTATTAGCATGTCTTGATATGCCAAATTCTTTTCTTCTATAAAAAATGATAATGAACACTAAGGAAAAACAAAAACCAGCTACATAATTCTACCAAAAGATCCAGTCTCATTAGTAAAATAAAATTATTTAGGTTGTGAAAATTTATTGATACAGAATGAAATAGCTAAAGGCTTTTGCTAAGATCAATGACTAGAAGGATTTTGCTTCCTCACTATCGAAGGTAGGGAAGCATTCTATTCATTCATAGGGGAGGGAAGCATTCATGTGAGACGTTTAAAAATATTTTGTACTAGAATCGAAAATTTCCATTCGCGTTTTATGTTTCAGATATAAAGTATCAAATTTGGTATAGTGACTGTCTGTAGTCAAATTGATGTAATGGGCAACTACTGTTTGGATAAACATGAATCGGATGATTTTCATGAAATTTTCAGGGATTGTGCGTGTTGGTGCCTAGATGGTCATATATCAATTTTATCACCAACCATCACTTCCGTTTATGCAAGTGCAAATGTGTTTTTTTAGATATGCCAATATTTCATTAACGGCTTGTTCAATTTGGCTAAAAGAGATAGGTTTACGTGTAATAATAATTAAGTATCACAGAATTTTATTGAATTCTGTTCCCTACTTTATCTTATATATGCCCAAATGTGTTTGCTTTGATACGTCTATGTCCCTTAAAGAGCATATTTGATTGGGCTCAAATTTGGGGAGAAGTTAGGGATGGGTAAACAAATAATCAAGTATGTATGAATTTAGTCAAATTCTAACCACTACACTAAAAGAATATATATATTTCCACTTTCAGAAAAGAAAATGTATTAGTAGACAGGTCTATAGTTTGAAAACAACATGTTCAAGTTGATCCAAATTTGGAGAATAGTATAGAAATTACCTAGTATCAATGTCATAGAATATTACTGCTGTTGCAATCTGGCAATCTTCAAATGCAGAACTCTCTTGCAGTTTAGGATTCGCTGATGAACAAAACTTTTTTTTTTTTTTTTTTTATATCGAACCCCTATATGTTCAGCGGTTACAGAAGTTCCTAAAAAGGCTTCTCCCAGAGATTTTATTCATATATGAAATATTTTAGAGCTTTTAATATAGATATTTTTTAGCCAATGAAAAATATGAGGAAGCATAACTGACCTTGCTTATCTGAATAAGTATGAATGTAATCAGTAAAAAATAGTGTATGTATGCGGTATGCATAATTTGGAAATATATTAATATAAATGGGTAAGAATGGTAAAACCTGTTGCTAGTTATCTTTTTCATTGGATTGTGGGCTGCTCCTTCTTGGAGATATAGTGTTTTATTTAATATGTTAGCATTGATACGTTAATAGATATCAGCAAAATTATTTACTGTTGTTTTATATTTATACATTTGTTAACCTATGTTTTTTCTCCCCATAAGCTTTCATCAGAGATGAAAGAGGCAATCGCGGACAAGGTTCAAATCCTCCTTCTCGCGAGAATTCTCGCGTAAGAGGAAAAACTCCCTCAATGACTCACGTTCCGGTAGTGGAACAAGAGCCACCACCACCAGTTGTCAAAGAGCCACCTATGGACCCGGAAGTATGCAAAAAGAAAGCCCGAGTTATATTCGAGGAATGGCTAGCCAATCACAACGTTCAGGTTGGTACTTCTTATATATTTATTTAAATATTAATTCTTGAAGGAAGTTAGTCGACTGTTCTACATATCATGGGTGATAAATATTCAGGACGCAGTCTTTTTTAAATTTTTTTTATTTTTGCCAACGTTTCAACCCAAACATGTGGGTCATAGCCCTGAAGATGACCCACATGTTTGGGTTGAAACGTTGGCAAAAATAAAAAAAAAAATTTAAAAAAGACTGCGTCCTGAATATTTATCACCCATGATATTTAAATATTAATTTTTTCTATGGATGTTTTGTTTGATCTATTTTACGAGTAAAAACATACCTATTAAGTATATGTCGCTACTGTTAATACCTATTAAGTATATGTCGCTACTGTTAATGCAAAAGGTAATATGTAAATATTTTTAACTTTTATTAAAGAGGACATTTTGTAGTATGCAACTAATATAGGGAGGGGAGACTGCTACTATGTAATATAACAGGAAAATAAAATATTAAATTATATTAATTAATCAAAATAATTTATTAGTTTACATATGACCTTTTTCTCTAACAGTAGCGATATGCATACTGGGATTTTTTTTTTTAATCACGAATCATCAAATTCGCAATGTGAAAATGTGAAACTCTCCCACATTTTAATATTCGCTGGTGAACAAAATTTGTGGATAAAAGACCCACAAATGTTGAGAGATTATTGTATTTCTGATAACTGTTTCTTCCGGAGATTTTATTCTAATACGGAAAATTATAAACCTTGAAATATAGATATTGTTAATTCAATAGAAACAGTGAGGGAGCTATACCTTACTTAGCAGACATTTTTTAAAAAAAGTGTTAATTAAATATAGTGATTACTAATTATCTTCTGCAATTATAAATAAACTTTCTTTCATTGTACCATTATTTTAAACAAAAAGTTAATTTTTTATAGTACAATTTTTATTACTTTTTTTCCATGAATCATATAACAATTTTTCTCTGCAAATTGAATCCTAATCAACCTTTTTTTTCTTTCTTACCAATCTAATACTAATACCAAAATCAAAGCTAGGGATTAGTAATTATTTTCTACAGTAATAATTTTATTTTTTTCATGTTTTTAAAATATGTAGTCAATTGATATTTAAGATTGCTATTTCTGATGACATCTTTACTTGAGATTTCAATATTTCTAGGAATCAGTGGATTGCATTCAGGAAAGCTTCCCAGAAGCTATGCTGTTTGTACGGTCGTTATTAGATACTGTTCTTGAGGGTAAGCAGGTGGCAAGGACAAGCTTTGGAGAACTCCTTGCAGATCTCTTGTCGAGGAATATAGTCACCGCCTCAGATTTCACAAAAGAGTAAGTAATAAATAGTCATTGTTATGTTGAATTTATTTATATATATATGTAATAGTCTGAATAGTATTATTTTAATTGTTTTATTTTCTTCTCAGGTTACAAGTTATTATTGAATGTGGAGAGGATTTTATGATAGATCTGCCTCTATTCTGGACTTATTTAGCGGAACTATTAGGTATTTTTGGATTTCTTTAAATTTTAATAATCTTAGTCCCTTAAAATAGCAGAGATAATGAAACATTTTTGACATGGCATCCCTTGCCTGTCTGTGACACTCTTGTTAGTTTACAAACAGAATTAACAAAAAATGGTAGGAGTTGTCTTTAAAGCTGTGATATTCCATAATGCCTATCCATTTTTGTAGCATTATACACAATTAATAAAACGAGCTGAGCTTCCAATACTCCTCAAGGTCCCAGTTTCAATTCCTGGCTCATGGCAAAAAAATGATTCATTTTGTTAATCTGCTGTGAAGCAACCTTGAGATCAAGAGACCCTCCTTGGGCACACCCCCCAGGCTTTTATAAGTAGGTACTCTTAAATAATTAATTAAGGGGGAAAACCTGGCGAATGTATCTTGATCAAATCACCCCCCTAACCACAACCATTGATCAAGAAATACTACTGAACCCAAAACCCTTCATAGGTTGCTGTGGTACAGTTTTTTTTTTATATACACAATTAAAAACAAAAATATTTCTTAAATATAATTTTAAATTTTGTTGATTTTGAGTATTATTGCTACGTCTCCCATGGCATATATATGGTTAAGATATACAGTTCGAGAACTGCTACCCGAGGAAAAACTGTCGTTAATTGTTTTTAATAAGCTATATATAAGTTCAATTTTAATTTATTTTTTTCATGAACCAGAACAGTAAATGATAAACTGTTTGTTATATTAATGAACAGTAACATACATGTTATATGTTAAAATAATGTTGATTCCATCATACATATAACAATAAAATTATAATATTTTGTTATTTTCTCTGCTCATTTATTATGTATGAGTCATTTGTATATTAATTTATTTTTATGAAATTTCAGTTCCATTGTTGGTGAAAAGTGTATATACGCTCGCGGATTTTAAAGCTGCATGTGAAACCTGTAAAACTACTCACCTGACATTAACATTAGCGGAAATCTTTAGGCAGTTGACTAAAGAGAAGGTATAGTTTTTATTATTATCATTATTTATGTTTTTGTTTTTTTTTTATTAACTTTTAATTTTTATTTTCGCTTACCTATATATACAACATATAGGAAGGAAAAGTATTGTGATCATAAAAATTTTCAAATCTGAGTTTTATTAGGAAAACACGTTCTGAGGTCTCCTGAATCAAAATAACCAAGTCCCTCAAAATGGTCCGTGTGTATGTTATCAGTCTTTCTCAAAAATGATAAGTTGTATGAAAGTGAAATTGCATATTTAAGCTTTTTATATGCGTTGGATGTTAAAGCAACGTTTTTGTCAAAATCTGCTTACCGGAAGTGACACTTTATGGAATCAATTTAACACATTTTCAAGATTTTCTCAAAAAAGGCTCTTAACGATTTTGACTAACCTCAGTGTATGAATATATAATTATGTGTTCTTTAAATATCATTAAGGTTAGACTGAAGGCGGGAAATGCTTGTTATTTTTCTGTGACAAAACTACTTAGTTCGCGCCTCTTGTCCCGAAACTTAAAAATTAGAATCTATAAAACAATTATCTTGCCTACAGTTCTTTATGGGTGCGAAACTTGGCCGCTTACATTAAGGGATGAGCAGCGTCTTAAGGTGTTTGAAAATAAAGTATTGCGTAGAATATTCGGATCGAAGAAGGATGAGTTAACCGGAGAGTTCAGACGGTTACACAACGCCGAATTGCGTGAACTGTATCCGGATAATATAATTGAGGTAATTTTATCACGGCGAATCAAATGGGCTTGTAAAGTTGTTGGGCTTAGTAACGAGAGAATTCCTAAAAGGTTAATATTTGCTGTGCTGAATGGTAAGCGTCCGAGGGGTAGACCGAAGCGAAGGTGGGAAGATTGCATTAAAGTCGATCTGAAGGGACTGGGTTTGGACGGCGAACGATGGAGGGAGGTGTGCAATAAGCGATTGGTGGTGTCGGCATCGAACCTTCGGTTTCGCTAAGCCTTTTTATTATTATTATTATAAATATCATTTAGATCTTATCCCCATTGATTTCACTTTACAGGGCTTAAATGCCCAATGTTCAACATGTCTTCCTCTGAAATACCTTTAATTTGGTTTATTTCAAATAATTAACTATTTCTCATTGATATAAATAATAGAAAAAATGCTAAATATAAGATTTGAAAGAACTTGATTATTGAATAAAGGAGAAATCAGGAAGAATACTTATTTAATTCGGAAATAATAGTAAAAAGGTATGCGAATAATATACCGTTAGAAAGCGGAGAATTTTAGAAAAAAAAAAAACAATATCTAGTATAGAAAGTAATGCTAGAGAATTAACAAAAAATTATAAATAATAATTTCTGAAGTCTATTATTATTTGATGGATCTCCTGTTTTCAAGGAAATTTAATGAAATTTACCAACTAAATGTATACTTATTAAATTAAAAAAAAAGTATTTAAAATCCACCTAATCTAGGCAATGACATTAAAAAAATATTTAATGAATATGTTTATAACCTTAAATATATCCGCTTACAATTAGAGTAATAACTTTTGACCTGTCTATGACAGACAATGCAAATCTTGTAATTACATTTTTACTAACTATCTAATGACTATAAAGTTTAATAATAAAGTTTAAAAAACTAATAGTCGTATAATCCATAATAGACTGGTAATATAATTAATCTTATTTTAGTGGTATTTATTATTTGTTAGCTTTAAGCTTAAGCTTGGTTGAAAATGCAATTAAAAAATTTGATAACAGTCAGTCCAACATTGCCAGAAAATAATTCCTTTTCTAAGTTGAGTGGTAAATAGAAGTTGTGTATTGAGCGCACCCGATTTTTTAATTTACTGTTAATTATTTATTCACATTCTTTTATAATATGTACAAGTACAATGTAAATTATTTCAGCTGATTTGAACTACCTTTTTTTATACTTGATAATCTTACATTTCACAATCTACAAGCTAGATATAGGCAAACATTAATTAATAATTGAACATCAATACTGGCTGATGAAATAAAATTAGCATCATAAAGATGATGCATTCCCCCTCTTAATTTAATTATGATGATTGTCTAATCTTCTCTATGATTTCATCTTAAGGGTGAAACTGATTTAGAGTGTTCCTCTGATTTTTGTTCTATATTAGTTCAAATAAATCTGTTAATGTTTGACATTGATTATAAAGAAAATTTCTGTTTTTTGTTGACAGGGGCCATTTTTTATCAAGCAACAATGGGAATCTTCCGATGTACAGTTCACAGATTTCTTTCCTGAATCTGATGTTAATAATTTTATCAAAAATAATGTAAGTATATTTTATTTTCAAGAGGAGTTATAAAAAAATTTGACTTTTTATGTGACTTTAGTTTCTTGATTATTTTATTTCATTGTTGCATTTATTAGTTTTGTTACAATTTAAAAATGTTGTATTTTTATTTTAAGTAGTTAAGGAAAATAACTTCCACTAAATATTAACTAATAAATATTACATATTCACATACCAGGAATAATAAATTGCTCTTTTGATTTGTTGTTGACTATTAGTTCTGGCTGTATATTTTAAGGATCAATAGAATCTTTTCTTGCAATAATTTTAAAAGATTTTCAAATAACCATTATTCGTTTGTTCAACATCTTAAAATAAAAGTTGTTTTTAAATTGTTTCTTTTTTTAATAAGGTTATCTTAGCATAAATCCTAATGCATTTTTATCCTAGTTTATTTTCTTTTTATATAACTATTTATTTTTTACTATGCATTAATTTTATTAAAAGATAAAATGACTAATTTTAATTGTTTTAAACAGAAGTGCGGCTTTTTAATTGGCGAGGGTGAAGTTGTTGAAACTGGAGAATCTCTACCTATGGATCAAGTTGAAGAAAAACTCCTTAACCTACTGAAGTCTGATAACAATGACAAAATATTTGATCAAATTTGTGATTGGATAAAAGTAATTTTGATAGCTTTTTTTATCTTGAAAATGTTAATTGCTTATAATTTTCTATACAATAAATAAAAATTTGCATGTTGTCTAGTTCAAGCCAATTTCATCTCTGTGATATTTCCATGTATGTATTGTTATTAGAAATTATCTTACTTTTTCTTTTATGTTATAGGCAAATGTTGGAAATAGAACGCAGGGTACTGATTTTATTAGGGCTTTGACTAGAGCAGTTATAAAAGCAAATATTAGTAAGTTCTCATTTCTTTATTTTGTTTTATTTCATAACATTTAAAATATGACGTGATTTAGTTCATTAGTAAATTTTCCAAAGAAATAAGGTTATTATGGATTATTTATTTAAAATTATTGTTTTTATAATGTATTGATTTAACCGTTATTATACTCTATTAATCATTATAGTTCGTTATTTTAAATATTTTTTAAAAATTCACATTGTTCTTCTGTTTAGAGTATTATTCAGTTTTAACGTCATTAACGGCTTTAATGTTCACTTATAGGACTTGAAGAAAGGATATATTCTTATTTTATATTTTAGGGAGTATAATATAAGAATTATTACCTATATGATGATAAAAACATGTTTTTTTTTTAAATTTACTTTCTATGTTTAAATAATAATAATAATAATAAGTTTTTGTATCTTAGAAGGGTGGGGACAATACCGTTTTCCCAAATTCAAACATGATAATCCAATTCAATTTGAATAGTTTATATATATTTATTATAATTATTTTCATTTATTTTATTTTTAGAAAATGATTATCACCTCAATTCCTCGAATTTAATGAAACATGAAAAACTTATTAAAAGGTATGTTGATGCTAATGAAACAAGAGAACTGGCATGTTTACATGGAATACAGAACTTGGTAGTTGTACAAATGATGTCCCCTCAAGGTAATCAAACTTTTCAAATTTTAAGTTTTATTTATCATTTCATAAAAAACTCTCATTAAATAGGTACTGATAACGTATATTTGTAATATGATCATTTTTAAATTGTAGTTGCAGTCAATTTGTTTATTACAATAAAAGATAATGCTATATTTTTGGGGGTCAAACATAAATACAGAGGGTAAGGGAGTAATGCTATATATATATAGAATGATTCCAGAGGTCCTCCAATTTTTAAACTGACAGAGAGAGGATTCGTTTCGGAAGTAGGAGTTGTCTCCTTTATGGTGACAGTCTTCCTCTTCCTCATTTATCCTTGATGTGCTGCCTGCCCATCTCTATTGACCGCACTTCATAAAGGAAATAATGGTTATTGCTTTAAGAGCTAATATGTTTCCGTTATATTACTGCTTATGGTTCTGATTCTATTACAATAATAAGTATTAAAGAATATATTTTAATTTAAAAAAAAAATCTATAGAAATTAAGAAATACATCCACGCTAGGACAATGTACTTCCGTATCTATTGAAACCTTTTGGTATATTGATAGGGAAATTGGCATATATATTTATACTTGGTATAGTGGTCGGGTTCCTTTCACTACACATTCGGCTCTTGACAAATATATTTCGTCCCTTGTGTTGTCTCATGTCAACATCCGAAAGAGTCTTCAGGTGTCATAGAAACCTGACTATTACACCTAGCTACATCATTCGTAGATGTCAATTTCCCTATCAATCTACCAAGATGTTTTAGTGGATATGGAAATACATTCCCTCAGGGTGGATAAAATTACCCAATTTCTGTAGTTGTTTTTTTTTTTTTTTTTTTCAAACACTCATGGAATTGAACCAAATAATTTGAACCATCAAACTTAATATCTTCCTGCCATAAACTCAAAACAGCTTTCTATATCTTTTAGTAGGCTACCCTGAATGTATACATTGCCCTCATGTCATTTCACTTTCACTAAACACTCTAGAGATCTCGCCCAATAATTTGAGCCATCTAAGTAAAAATCGATCTAGCCATTCTCTCAAAACAGTGTTACAAAACTTTTTGCAAATTGTTTCAAAACACTCAGGGGTTCTTACTAAATAATTCAAATTTAAAAATTGATCCAGCTGCTCGCTCAGTGTTGCAAAGCTTTTAGCGGACGACCCAAACATATAACCCCGTTTTGCTATTTTTAGTTTGTGTAGTTATTAACTAAATTTTAACATGAGCAGCTTCCCTTTTACCAGTTCTAGTTAATAATTTGTTGTATATATCAATTGCGCACTTATTATCTTCACCTAAAGTTAGTTCATCAAAAGTTAATTTTATTATAAGATAAAAAAAAAAAAAAAATCAAACTGTCCTAAAGAGAGAGTAGTGTATGAAATCAGGGTACGTAATAGCACATTAGAATCGAGAACAGATATCAAGTCTCAACCTGTTAATAGTAAATTCTGTTGCAGGTTGCCATCAACTGTTTAAGGTTTTGTTATTAATATCCACCTTTTGTTGGAGATTAAGTTGTCAACTCTTGTCCCGTCACAATATTGTTCAACCTTATTATAATGTTTTCCTTCTGTTTTTTTAATTTAAAATTATTTGATGAAAACTGTCATTTATCCAATCTGCTCAATGGGGGATTTGTTGTGTTCTTGAGAGAGCTAAAAATTTTAGGTCCGCTAAAGCTTTTGTCAAGTAGAGGTAATATTGTTGTAAGTAAATGATGATGGTAATGAAATCTCCCTTCAGTTAAAGTAGGAGCAAAACTTTTATTAGGCACTTATATCCCATGATCCAGAGAGCTGGGAAGTTGATTGAGAAACACATTTCTTGAGAGAGAGAGAGAGATTTTTTTTATTATGTTGTATTTAGATAAAATTTGTTACACAATGTATCTATGTCATTTATGATTTTTCTAATTGCCTTGAATTTTTTTTTTTAAAGGACTGTTGATGGAAATATTCCAATCTCTATGGGAAAACGGTATAATTTCTCATGAAGCTTTTATGAAGTGGAAATCGTGTGAAGACACACAGTATGAAGCTGAGGGTAAAGGTGTTGCGGTTGCATCTTTATCCCCATTTTTTGTATCCCTTTCAGAACAAGACGATACAGATGATGAATCATCTTGATCTTGACGAGAGGCAGCGGCTGGGATTGCCCATCGGTAACATACTTTAATCTTATCTATTAGAACCTAAGTGTTGATGATTATGTTCTGTGCTAATATAATAAATGTTACATAAAAAACAATTACTTTATTAACATTTCATTTACTGAAAAATAAGGAAATACCATTGAATTTATAATTAATCTGACCTCTTTCTACAATTCTGCTCCTTTTGGACGTAATCCAGACAAATTGCAAAAGTGAATTTAATATTACTCGAGTATAGATCTGTAACTTTATAGTTAATTGACATTCAATCTATTGTTATTAAGAAGTTTGGTTTTAGATTAATTGAAGTTTTGTTTTAATTTAAAAAAATACTTTTTCTTTTCACATAAGTATGATTTTACATATTCTATTTTTTAATTTGTTTTCTCGTACTTTTCTTATAAAGTAATAATGTCAGAGATTATTAAATAGTTTTTAGAAAACCATGGTGGTACAGCTCTGGGGCACTCTCTAGTCAAAAAATGTTGCCAGTTCAAATCTGGCCTGTGTGAATTTACTTTTATTTTGTGGACAAATTCTTAAAACAGTTTTAACCTATTGGTTGGTTAAAATAGGTTGGTAACCTGAAGCATAACAATTGCTATTCATTTTGTCCTAATCAGAACACTAAGACTTTCAAATCTGATATATGAGCTATAACTTTCTATCAAACATTAAAATATATAGATTTTTACACTTTTTAAGAAAATGGATATTAAATGTTTTTTTATGTAACCTTAAAAAATGTAGTATTTCTTTTTTTTTTTTTTTTCTCCTAATTATCTATTATTTTTATAATGACTTATTTTGTATTTGTGTTACAGACCAGGCAGACCTAGTGAAATTTTGCCATCTGATAGGTTGAATACTTCTGGGACACCACCTGTTCTTCAAAATGGACTATCCCTTTAAGATAATCACATCTATATAGAATTATATATATATAAATGCGCGAGTGAGGAAGAGAAGAGGGAGTGCCGTGTCCCAAAAAACTGATAACTATAAATTAATTTGGTGCAGAAGCTTCATTATGTACGAAATACATGTATTATAAACGCAAACCAGATTCGAATTCCTATAGAAAGACTACGCAGATCGACTTTTATATATATTATATATAAATAATTTAAATCGTTTATTTTTTTGTTTTACTCGTTGTAAGTAATCCGTTTTGTGAAAAGGATCTCCCTTACGGGGGCATGTACACAACTTACCTTAGTTTGTAATTGCAATGAGGTTAATTTATTTAAATGGAACTGAACACCTTTGTTATACATGACATTCATACTTCATAACCAATCCATGAGGTATGAATCTTTATATGTATACATGCATTAAAAGGGAGGGGGTATGTATATATATATATATATATATATATATACAATAAATTGTGTAAATTAATTAAATGAAATGTGTGGATGTATTAAAATTCTGTATTTTTTTTATTATTTACTTTTAGCAATTAATTTAAATTGCCTGAAAAGAAAAATGAAATAACGGATATTGTAAATCACTAAGTGATTCACTTTCGGGGTGGGAACCTCAACAGGTACTAAGGAGAAAATAATAATGTGTAATCTCCTAAATATATAAAGACTATTTTTGTAACATTTTAAGGAAATTTTTTTATTTATTGTTTTTTATATTAAGAAAATAGTTCTTACTACAATCTATTGAGGTTCCTGTAATTCCTAGTTATACATTTTTATATTATATATTATATAATTAGTGTTTCGTATTATCAATTTTATTAATTATTGTCTGTCTGTATTGGATATTATGTATTATAACTATTTCGTGATGTAAATTAAAAAAAAAAAGAAAATGGAAAAAAAATTGTTTTCGCAAATGGGGTACACTCTCATACCATGAGAGACAAAGGGAGGGGTAAGATATATATATATATACATATATATATAGTTGTATAAATCGGTTACGTAAAACAGATTATATATATTATATATATAGTGATACGACTGACTTTAGCCAAGATCACAAGACAATTATTGATAGTGTGTGTACAGTTGTGAAAGTGTTGGAGACTCAAAAAGTCTGTTAAGTGAAATTAAATTTGGACGCTAAAAAGTGTTGATTGTATAAAAAGTGAACATTCTTCTCTTTAAAATTATTACGTCAAATTTGTTGGCGTAAGCAGATGATTGATTCGTACATTAATTAAAAAAATGGAATTAATAAAAATTATGTATATATATACATACATGTTTTCTTATGTTTTTTATCTTTTACCCTATTTTTCCTAAGTATTTTGTGGTCTATTCATTAATATTTTCTAAATTATTGTCAGGTGAGATCTGTGTTTCTTCCTTCTGTTGGTTTTATAGTGTACATAACAAAGTTCATATTATGAATAGGAGTGTGATATCTAGGAACCCTAAGAATTTTGTCAAAAATAGGTTGGTTAGGATTTGATTTCAGAAGTAAATCCATTTATTCAGGCCAAAACAATAAGTGAGTGGATGAAGTTTTAAGGGTATTCTCAAATAGTTGTAAGCGATGCCTCTTACTTTTAAAAAATATTTTTAACATAATCCTCTGGGGAATGGAAATTAATAAAAAAACATTAGATTTAATTATATTTTCAACCAACACAAGGTTTTAGCTTAGTCTCAACTTTGACAAAAACAAAGTCTATCTGTAGTTAATAAGCTTAATTAGGAAAATTCTAGGAAAAAAAATTAATTTTAAATTCGCAAGAACAACATTAATTATTTATGATGATTTAAATGACTGACTAGAAAGCAGTTAAGTATCGCTATTCATATAACTTAAAAGTTAAGTTAAAAAAAATAAGTTACAAAGCTGTTATAAATTTTGGGTAGAAAAACAAGAAAAAATTGCATGTTTTTGTTTTGCTAATTTTCTAAATAAATTTTGAAAGCTAAATAGTTTGCTTCCTGTTGTGTTAAAAAAAAATTTTAGAAAAGCTTAAGGTGTTCAAGATTAAATATAATGGTTTTTAGCTATATCATATCAAAAAGGATGCGATATATCTGATATAAACCGTCTGGATCTGTGTGTGTGTGTGTATGTTAACAGTCTAGCTCAAAAACGAAAAGTCGAAAGAAACTGATATGTATTTGAGGTTTGTATATGGCCCTGGTGTGACAGCAAGTTTTTCTAAAATTAAGTGAAGAATTTTAGAAAAACTATATCTAATACAGAAATTCTTAGAGGGTGATGGAGAGTGACGAAAAATTATAAATAATAATTTCTGAAAAATGATATTATTTATCCAAAATCACATATTTCCTCCGAAATAAAATGAAATTTCTTAACTAAATATAAGTTTTTAAGTTTGGAAAAAAGGCTATAAAATCTACTGAAGCAATGCAATGACATTGTTATAAAAACTATTTCATTGTATTTATGTGAAATAAAGATATTTCATCATGGATGAGTAAAACTTATGTTAATAGCCTTAAATACATTTAATGTATTTTAATAACTCTAGATCCAATAGTATATTTAAACTATTAGGTATGTACACGTCCCCATTTGGTAAAAAAAAGAAATATGCTTTGTGGAATAACTTCATACACTTAAAATCAGAGTTACGGCTTTCCCACTTAATGATGCTGTATTTAAAAAGTGATAGAGATTTAATTCCTATATTTTTTATTGTGCAGTATACTTTACTTATTCATAATTAAATACATGTATGTTTAAATCTCTCTTTGCCTGTAGAGCTCAGAGACTTGAGTTATGTGATTCAAATAGACTTATAAAGTTATAAGGTTTTTATTGTCTACAATGGATATAATAAATAGGGTTTATGTTATTTTGATGGTCTTAAGTAGTTTTTATATTGGTAAATACGTCCAAAAATATATTGTTTGAGGTTTAGCTTCATTAAAAATGTGCTTCAAAAATTTCTTGTAATAGCCCCATTTTTCCAGACAATTTTTTTTTTTTAAGCAGAGCAGTAAGTGAAAGTTTTGTGTTTTTATCATGAGACATGTCTTAGAAAAACATAAGGAACTTGCAGTATGCTTTGTTGACCTTACAAAAGCCTTTGACTGAGTAAGGAAGATGGATATCTCAAAGGCCTTAAGAGATAAGGGAGTAGATCAAGGACATATAATGCCAGTGGAAAGTTTGTACAAGAAAACAAGAAGTGTTGTAAGATTTACCAACTGTACTACTTAAGAAATCGAAACCATGATAGGGATTCGGCAAGGTTGTAGCTTGATTCCACTAGTGTTCATTTTAATTATGGATGCAGCTATTCGGAGGACTAAGGAGAGTAAAAGAAAATTCTATTTAGGATATGCCAATCTAAGACCAGTGAAACTCACTTCTTGCATTTGCCGATGACATTAGTATTTTCGCAGAAGACAACAGGAATTTCCATCACAACAGGTTAAAAGAAGAACTGCTTAAGATCAACGTGGCCATAAACCCTAGTAATGAGGATAGGAAAGAAGCCACGGAGAATTACGTGTGTCATTAGAATTGAAGATACGGTCCTTGAACTGAAATAAAATAATTTAGTTGAGCTACATTAGGAAAAGTATCTGTCTTAATTTATTATCTCTTAAACAGTATCATGTAATCAAAGAAACTTCAGCCAGATTGGTGGTGCTTGCAGGCCATAGTTTGGAGATACCTGCTCTAGCCCATTCAACCATTTACCTAGTTTAATATGATTATTTAAGTCCGGTGCACCGCAGTAATCTATATTCAGAACAGAACCTCAAATTTAAAATAAATTTTATAGATAAAAGTCTTTACCAGAAAATAAAATCATCTTCAACTAAAATTGATTTTTTTTTAAAATTGTACGATTTAATGGGGTATTACCTGACCTTTAAGAAAACATTTTATCTAGTTGTTTTATGTTCTAAAGAAATTCTACATTGAAATATTAATTTATATTGAATAGATTCATGATTTTATTGCTATTCCTGGACCTTAATATAATAATTATCAAGTATATATTATATTGACTTTTACAAATTTGTTTGTTATATTGACTTTTACAAAATACAATTGCATATATTTGATCCATGAAATAAAAAGTTTACTAAATCTTCATGGATTCTTGTCGGAAAACAGAATATATAATTCTCAAAATAAAATCAGAAATGGTAAACTTAATGGGACATATCTAAGAAAGCTAGGAAAATAGAGATATACAGATCTTGAGAATAGAGTCTTTCCATTTTAGAGGGAGTTGCAGGTACCTATATATGCTGTACATAAAAATTTGTTTTGATAAATTTGATCTTTCCACAATTGAAGAACCAATTTTTAATCTATATTGACCATTTCTGAGAACTTTTGGTGATGACAATGGAGATATTGATCCACCCAGACTTAGAAGTAGCAGAAGCAATCTTGCTAATGAAAAACAACAATGACCCAGGACTAGATGAGATGGATTTCCAGCAGAATTCTAGAAGTTTGGAGCAACTTCATTCGGCATTATGTGACATGATCCTGTCTATTTGGATACAAGAGAAAACACCAAGACAATGGAGCAGTATAGCCATATATCCCTTGCAAAAAAAAGAAAAAAAAAAAAAAAAGAGACCAATTGGAATGCAGTTACTATCATGGGATTTCACTCTTATGTGCATACAAAGTGCTTTCCAACTAACTATTCCCAATCACCAACTATATATACTACGGACGATTTAAGAATGAAGTCATGAGTAGAAGCTACCAACTCACCACTTATTCATTGAATTAAAAAATGCTAATGACCAGCATAAAGCGAGTAAAGCTTTATGTTTGATGAATATCACAAACAAGTTGATTCACCTTGTGAAGCTGATAACACGGGAGATGAGATGTCAAGTCTGAATACAATGTGATCCAAATTCACTTCTGTCAAAGGGATGCTACAAGATGGCTTGGCTTTTCTTCCATTTAATTTTGAACTAGAAAAAGTGGTGACTCCAAAATCCAGAAGAGAGGCACTGTCTTCTCCTGTATGGTGCAGATAATTGATGACTCAGCTACAGCTGCAAGTCTCGGCCTGAGATAGAAGAACCATTCCTTAAGCTTTTAAGGGCAGTTTCAACAATTGGCCTAGTGAATAATGCCAAAATAAAATATTTCTACACAGGGGATGGAGGAGTTCCAGAGTTGGTTATTGGCTCTTATATTTTTGGAAGGGTAACAGTGTTTACTTACCTTGGATCCCACATGACAGCTTCGAATGATATGTCAGTGGTTTTAATTATTTATTTTATGGTTTTAGTGATTTATTTTTTTAAACTTTATTTATTGAACAATAATACATTCAGCCACTGTTGGAGGGCTATAAGTATTAAGGCTAAATGTTCTCATTCGTACAATATATACAAATAATAGAGAAATAAATATAAACATAAAAGTAAATAAATAATACTGATAAAAAAGTAAATAAATAAATAAAATAAAAACTTCTTCACACATTCATACCTATATACATTCGCCCAGGAATCTCTGAGCCAGGCTTTTCCCCCCACATGTGGAAGGTAAAGCAAGACTCCAAGAGATCCCAGTGCCACTTTCCCAGCCGCATCACTAGTATCAGAAGCCAGTGGAGACTGAATGAGGGCACTAGAGCCACAGATGCTCAGTACATGAGTGGAGAAGCTGGCCATTGCCAGGACTCGAAAAGCTTATGTACAAGAGATCTCGAGGCCACTGCCGTTTCAACCTTCGAGGAGGATGGTATAGATGCTCGGAGCTGGATAGGGATTGCGCTAGAGGATTGGGATGATGAACAAGGTTCTGGTGAAAGTTTGAGAATCTGGATGGGATGATGTCATGGACAAATGGGATGTTAAGGTCATGAAGTAGGGTCTTGTTCATGACATAATATGGAGCATTGACTATTGTTCAAAGGATTTTGGACTGGAAGGATTGGATACGTTTGATATTCCACGATTTAGTTGTCACCCACAGTTCTAGTCCGTAGGTCCAGATAGGTTTATGATCTTGCAGATTAATAGTTTGTTTTCTGTTGAGAGATGAGATGTTCTGTTTAGTAGTCTATATAGCTGACCAAATTGTCGGTTAAGCTCCTGTCTTTTAAGTCCCATATGTGGGTTCCAAGTTATTCTTTTGTCTAGAAGAAAGCCAAGGTATCGCAATGTGTCGAAGAGTGAAAGTGGTATGTTTGCATTTTGATATGCCAGTTGTTGCACCACTGCTTAATCAAGGAGAGGTGTCTTTGCAGGTTTCGGGATGTTATTAGAGGATCTTAGTGGGAGGATAGGATGGCAGTATCATCAGCAATTGTTGCTAGGAAAGTATCAGGACTTGAAGGGATGCCGGCGGTGAAGAGGATGTAGAGAACTGGGCCCAAGACACTGCCTTGAGAAACACTAGCCTCAATTGGATAATGTTTGGATATGTCAGTGGTAGAAGGGAAATTTATTAAACATTAGTGGAATATCTTTCAGATATATTTTTATTTGATTTTTACATGAAGTTCAATAAATAAAAATTATATAATCCTTATAACTAAAAATAATCATATAGGTTCATCTATCCTCAAGGGCACAGTTCAACAACAAACAACAAAATATATCTTTACCTACTAGCATTGCTACTATACAAAAGAGAAATCACTTAAAGAGATCCATTAACTATAAATATATGTACAAATAAATTTTTCTTATATTACCTTATTTCACCAAGAAAATGAAAATAACAATATTTTTCTAAACAAAGTATACCTTTATTTATATGTATATATACAAGTACCATAAGTTATATTTGGGACCATATTAGTTTACTAACTAAAATAACTGGAATTTAAGTGGTCATAACATCATTACACTGTGTGCAAAAACTGCTTCCAAGCAATTTTTTTAAAAGAATAAATAATACCACTCATATTAGGATATTGTTTTATATTTTTTTCCAGTCTGATTTTGTTTTTAATATATTATTTGATTGTACTAGCTAGGTTCTTCATGAACTACATAAATATTTTTTATTTTTCTGAAGTTCTTGAGGTCCAGTCAATAAACAACTATATTTTGGTGATGTTTCACGTAATTGATAACAATAGTTGGAAATTAATTTCCACTACAATAAACTAGTAAATAAATGGTAAACTATACTGAAGATTTTAGGATAATACTAAATTAGAAGGACTCCATTTAAAGTAGTTGGAATAATGAGGTACTGAAGCCATCATTTCACTATTTATAAAAAATAAATAAATAAATAATACTAATTCAATTAAAGTAGCTGGAATAGTAATCTGGTGATGAAGACATCATTAAGATCCTCAGAAGATATATATTATTAACGGTTAAGAAAATAAAAATAAACACACACATTTATATATATGGGGCCGGGGTAGCCATATGGGCTAAGGCGCTTGCAATAGGTAATCAAAGTTAAGCAACGTCGAACGTGGTTAGTACTTGGATGGATGACTGTCCAACAGGGAAAGCCATGCTGCCCAAGACTCTCGCACCCCCGGTATGTGAGACCCATCAGCCTATTAGAGGCAGGCCACTCACACGGACTGGGCGTAGGACTGATGACCCTACCCCGTGTACTTAAATCAGGAATTGGGATGTGGTTTACCAGGATGTCACTAGCCCCCTTGAGGTATGGTCCGTGAAAGGGTTTGGGTTGGGGAAACAAATATAGGTCCTCGTTCGTCTGCTGACTCTGAGGCCATAATCCATGGATCTAGATCAATTGTCACTGTCCTTGAACTTGAGTGAGTCGGTAGGAAGGACACTAACAGATTGTCCCCAAAGGGATCGGCTATGGAGCTACAGGTGGCCTGCCACTGCACCATGGAGACCATGGTAAGTAGCAACATGAGGTTGGTTGACCCCCTCCAGGCTATCTGTGCTCCTGCAAGCAATATATGTCTGGAAGGAGAGCACATTTCGCAGCCAAAGATCTCCATGGTCTGTAGCGCCAACCGGAAAAAAAAATAAATATATACACCCATATTTAAAGAGGTGTTAGTAGACACTAAGGTCCAATTTTCTGCATAAAGTTAAGAAATTTAAGTTTTGTGTTTTTTAAGTGTCATATTTTTTTTTTAATAGGAAGTAATAACTAGAAAAATATTTAATTTAGGTAATTAATAATTATTTCATAGTAAATTAAACAAAATTTACTTTAAATGCTGGATGAGTTTGTCTTTTTTATAAGTATTTAATGGAGACTTTTAAGCAGCTAAGCTATGCGTAGTTCTATTTTTCATAAAACCATGGATTCTGGAGGGTGATTTTTTTATCGCCTTCCAGCTGGACTACAGATACCCCACTTTTAGAAAAACTTGCTTGCTTAATAAGCCTTAAGTCCATAATAAGTTGAGATTCACGGCTATTTTTGTAAAATATTTATGTGATTTGAAGATTCATCACCCCAGAACATCTGGGTTTTCAGCAAAAATTTAAATAATATCCATTACCTATCTATTTCTCAGTACAGCTGGTCCCTGAGAGAAATCAGACCATATCCTCTTAATAAAGGGAGGCCCATAAGTTTAAAATATATTTGTGAAAACAGGCTGGCTACTAAAAAAAAAATATTAATGGATATCTATGTTTAAAAAAAAACCTGTGATAATAATCCATGATTTTATGAAAATTAGAACTTAGCATAATTTAGCCACTTTCAAGTTCCCTTTAAATTGTTTTAACAAACACATACTACTTGCATTTGAAGGAAATATCCAGCTCATTATAATTTTTTAAAATTAGTTTAAACAAACATCTTTTTAGTTATGCTGTTATTAGAAAAAAAAAGCGACACTTACAAAAACAAAAATCTTTAATTTCTTGTAGAAAATCAGACCATGGTTTGTATAAACTTTTTTTGTAGCTCACGATGTCTTCTATCACCCATCAATATTTCCTTTTCCATAGGGGACACCCTGAATAACGGCAGAGACTTAGCTGATAGTAGATCAAATAGTAGGAGTTAGGAATACAATTAAAAGTAAAAATACATGAAAAAAAAAATTCTCTCAGTGGCGATGTTTCTGCCTATTTCATTCAGGACTGCTTGAAAGATATCTCCTATAATTTTTTTTTTATGAGTACTTCCACCTTTAACAGCAACTTCTACTATATATATTAGAAGTTGACTTTCTTATATATAAATATTTATTTATTCTATTTTCTCAACTGTTATATTAATAGCAATTGTATAAATAGAGGTCATATATATTATAGACACACACACATACATACGCATACCATGTCATTAAATGGTTGTTTATAAAGTTAATATAGTTCAGAAATAGATATAAAAATACAGGGCACCTGTACCAACTACAGGTAAATTAAACAATTACATGTCATGTAATTGTGATTGTAATGAGTTGTGACTCTTTTGACATTAATTATAATAGCAGATGTGATAGCAATTATTACTCTCAGTTGATTGTCGCTATTAAAATTTTAAAGCCATTTTTGAGAATGATTTCTTTATTTGAAAACTATTAAGTAAAAAGCTTTTGAATAAAAACTTATCCTAAAACTGTTCAGGTATTTGAGTTCCCAAACCTAATTACATTCATTTTCAACAGCTAAGTTCCAGATAATAGTTGGTTAGTTTTACAGTAAATATTGTTGTTGCTTTCTTTAATTTTAGGAATTTCGAAAATAACAAAATACTATATACTACTGATACAGAAACGTTTTCAAAATTAATTTATTGCAAAATTAGAGTTCATTATTACAAAAAGAAAGAAATCCATTGAAACATATAACTGTAAAAAAAATATGTTTTTTCAATAAATCCCGAAAAACAAGCAAAATTGGGAGCTATTATTTTTAACAAATGGAAATAGAGAAATAATTAAAAATACTAAATGATCTGTTCTGAAAATAACTTTGAATTGAAATTAAAAGATATTTATGCCGGTAAGGAAAATAGAAAAAATAAGACAATCAAAAGATTCAATAATAAAATCAAGATTCAGATCTATAAAAAAATTTCAAAAACTAATTGTAACATTATGCAAAAAAGTGTTTTCTAGTAGAATGTACCAATCCTAATAAATTTTAGGATGAAAACAATAGAGAACTAACTGATGACAAATATGTCAGAAAAACACTGATAATAAGGTATATTTTATAAGACAAATAAATGTTACTATTTTATTAATATTATTCCTGTCCAAAAATAAAAAAAAATATTTGTTTAATATAGTCAAATTGCCATAAATAGTAACAAAAATTAGAGCAGTCTGAATTGGCACAGTTTTGAAAAATTCAAGTTTTCCAATTATCCTCTTATTCGGATGCGCTGCCATTTTGAGAAAAATACTTTTTCAATCATTATTCCCATTATATAGTAATTTATTAATTAGTGCATTAAGTTGACAGAATCCAGAAAATTATGGGAGAATGTCCCGTGGCTTTTGACTCTGATACTGACCGACTTTGGTTGAGCTGGTCCCGGATTGTTGTCAATACACAGGCTCGGTGATTGATAAATACTTAGCTGGCCAATTAGGCTCTGCCTCTGCTCTCCATCGAACATATCCGTGCTCATTAAGGGTCAACATTATAATACTTTATTGGTATCATTGTTTTCTCTTTTATTCATTCCTGTAATGGCAATAAACATATTCATTAATTAATTGATACAGACAATAAAATATATTTACTAGTAAGTATGTGTTGAAAGAATCGTTTTTAACTAATTTGGGGAACTTTTATATACTAGCTGGTCTAAGCGAATACGTAATGCGGTATATTTATCCAAATATCTCCTTAAATACAGATCTAGCCAAAAAATATATCATTTACTTTTTTATAACTGGTTTAAACTTCCAATTTTTTGAGACCAATAAGAAACTAGTAACTATTCTGAAATAAATCTTTTTGAATATAAGATTTTTACAGTAAAGTATGGTAAATTCAAATTCTGTGATAGTTATAGTTTTAAATAATGAATCATATGGTAAAATTTGTCAACAAATTGCTCACATAAATGAGCATTTACTTGGTTATCAACCACAATACCTGAATCTGTTGACTTTGTCACATAAATATTAGGAAATTAACTGTGTTTGAAAAAAAAGAGCTTCGCTGCATCTTAGTTAATTTGCGCTAGGCCATCGAGAAAGAAACCAAGAGCGCCAGGGATAATTTTTACAGGCCCCCATCAAATATTAATTCATCACTAAAACCCAACCTTGTCATTTCATGTAATGTATACAACAAAAATATTATGAAAAAACCTTGTAGGCTAGGCCAGCTGCCCTCCCCCCCTTCCCTCACGTTGCATGATATTGGAGATGGCATCATGTCAATATATTGAGATAATGTTACTGCTGTATCACAGAACTTTTCAATTTCACACCAAATAAATTACTACAAACATCTTACTTCCAACCAATTTATATTCAACTGCATTTATTGTTTTCTGAAATAAAAATGTGTACAGTATACATAGAAGAAATTTTCAGTTGCTTGAAAAATGATAGCGCTTTTTGGAAAGAGGTGAGGTTGGGGTTCAGCTATTATGAACGGTTTAGTCTGATTGAAATTGAAAATTTCCTAACTCACAACACTGGTAGTTCCACAATGTTCAAAAGTTTGCCGAGCCTACCTGAATTTTGCCAAAACTATTCTCAATGACGAAGAATCATTAAATAGGTCAAGTGGCTCCTAATTTAATTTTATCAAGACAAGATAAACCAAAACATGAAACCTTGGAATTCATACTGAAGGAAAAGAGGGAAACAAAATTAGCTGTTTTTTTCCAAATAGCAGTGCTTCCTGTGGTGGGTGCAATTGGGAAACTTGAATTTTTCAACACTTTGCCAACCCAGACAACATATCCACAAATCAAATCTCCCATAATTCTCGTAACCATTCTAGAACTTTTGACTAGAATAATTTTATCTTTGTTAAAAACAATTATCATTTAATTAAGGTCAACAATATTCCCTCACTTATATATACATGCATATTGTAATGATTGTTTAGCTGGAACTCAGATTGATAGTATTGGTGATTTAACAAATTTAAATAAGCAGGAAAAACTGATTGATGTAAAGCATAGTAATATTTCGGAACCGTGTTTGGTTATCTGTAGAGTGTTCAAACCCCATTTAAAATTAAGTTAAATATATTTTTCTGTTTATTTAAACAAAAGAATGAGAAGAAATATAAGATCAGTTGTTTATATTTATGAAACTTTAAAAATGGAAAATTTAATGATGGTCAGGACAGCTGTTTAGTAACGACATCAAAGTGTACATAATTCAGACAAGTAAATAACCTAAAAAATATTTAACTTAGAAAAAAAAAAACCCTCATAAATAACTTTTACTATTATAAATATTGATATTTTGAATACTAATTAAAAATCTATACAATATAAATTGTGAAACTTCCCTGTAGCAGGTAAATTTTCACGTCAGCAGAAAGTCAGAGAGGCTCACGTTGCGGGAAGGTCTGAATGTTTATACTGACTAAGTTCAAATATGTGTACTGGGAATTTGGTTTTGTATTAAGAATTAAAGTTTTAATATTTTATTATTAGTTCTCCTACAATGAAGGAGATAATTTGAAAACAAAAGTAATAAAAATTTCAGATCAATGTAGTAGTTAAGTAATTTTTGTTTTCTTTTATTACTGCTCATTAAATTTTTTTTAAAATTAAAATATAATTGAATTGTAAAATAAAAAATAAAAATGTTATTGAAGAGAAAAGGGTGCAATAAAAGAATTATATTTTCTTATCACCATACATTGTAATAATTTAATAAACCAAATAATAATTTTTGTAAATCGTCAATTCCTCAAATATTTTATTGGCACATCTTAATTGTTCCAAAGTCTTTTATCAAGTTGAACTTTTCTTTCACATTTAATTATTTTCGTTTTAGAACAAGAAAGACAACGTTAAACTGAAATTATAATATAAATTGCAATTAACGTTGGAAAGAAGTTTAGAGAATAGTACACCCATATATAGAGCAATTGTTTCTTATTAAACAATTTTCTTTGTCATTTTATATTGCCATATAAAAGAGCGAAACAAATATTTATAAATGAAAGATAGATTGTCATAATGTAAGTTATCACTAATGGTAGGGCAAAATGATATTTATTGGGTCAAAAGTAATTCCTTATAACCTTATTTTTGATAGACTCAGTCCCTGTCAAAGTGACACTGAGCCAATTATTAACTTTGTTTTAAGTCTAAACCCCAACATAAGCAGGTATAATAACTGAAGCGTACTAATGCAAAAGTTTCCAAGTGCCTTCAGCGAAATTTTCAGATTTAAAGTTTTAACTTGAATAATATTAAACAAATAGGTCAAAAATGGTGTTTCTTTGATTTGATTTCATAAGTAATAAATTAAGATTTATAATAATATGCAACTCTGAACACAAACTGGTAATCAGGAAAACAAAAAGGAAATTAATTCAATTCTGCTGAAGACTCTTTTCCATTTTCATGCTTCAACTACTGTTCACCAACATTAACAAATCTAAAATTGAATACATGTATAAAGTAATTTTCTAAGCTGAATCATGTATACAAACAGTGAATAACCAGGAAAATAAATTATAAAACAATATATATTAGTTTATTAATTTTCATAAATACAAACATAATCAAATCACTCCTGACTATGCAGAAAATCCAGAAAGAAAAAGTTGACTTTAATAAACAGAAAAACACACCCAAGATTTTTTGACAAGTCTCGTAAAAAAATTAAAATAATATAATAGAGCCTTTGGTTCTTATTAGTACAAATTATCAGGGACCAGACTCAGTTTTTTTTTTTTTTACAAAAAGTCAAGCTTATTTTTAAAATAGTCTATCGTCAATAAATTTGTTGCTTCATAAAAAATGTTTAACAACTGTTTAGTTATTAGTTAACAAAAAAGAACATAATCAATAAGTACAGATAATAATAATATTTATCCGTGATAAGACCAGTATGATATTAATTTAGTATTATTTATTTCATTATTACCCAAATATGATAAGATATAATTGAACTATTAATATAAGTGACTCATTATCAATCGTAGATGAATTAATGGAAGAGTCCCTGGTCAAAATATTACTTGTATTGTAGTTGCGAATCAAAGATTATACCATTCTAATTAAACCATTAAATTTAATTTTTTTTACTGACTAATTAGTATGGGTGGTTCATGGATTGATTTAATCCCTTTAAACCATTTAGTTCAAATAATAAAAACAAATAACTTATACTCAAATGAAAAACTCATAAGCATAATCAGTAAATGAATTGATAATGAAACTCAAAAATACAATAAGAAAACAGAAAATGATAAGAGAAAAATTGTATCTATGAAAATAAAACATTAACAAGAAGGAATACATATTTCTTTAACAATATGAGTAGCATGAAAAAAGTACAATATGTTAAATGAATGAATAAAAAAATATATAAACATAACTTTTAATATTATATTGAACATGTTTTATGAAATCGCATATTAAGAGATGAAAAGAAAATTCAGATATATCAAAAATTAGTTTTATCGAATAAAAAAAAAATTATTTTGATAAATAAGGATTTTAAATAAGTCTATTTTAAAATTTTATTTACATTATTAAAAACAAAATAACTAACTTGCAAGGTGCACTTTTTTTTTCCTTGACTACACTAAATATCTCATTGATAAATTTCATCAATAAGGCAAACACTTTGAAACGTTATATGGCCAATGGACCTCGTTCGAAATATACTCCTATACAATGCAATATTTAAAATAATTACTTTAACATTCTAGACCAACAATAAATATCCATTGACTGGGATTGGCATTTCTAATTCATTAAGTATAATAGCTCTGAGTAGGTATGACAGAAATCACTATTATCATGGGTATGTCCTGAAACAATTTTAGTATTTAGAACCCACAAATATATATGTAAACTATTTTATTTTAATATTTCAGCTATGAAATTCAGACTTGGGTTTCTCCAAGTTAAAAGACACTTTTAATTCTGTATTATTGAATTATTACAAAATGAGGCAATATTAACTTACAATAAATGTAATAATCTATTTTTAATTAAATATGTATCTAGTTAATATTTCTGATAATCAAGAGAATACTCCAAATTTTATATGAAAATCAATGGTTTATATTGATTATAATCTTTGTGTAAACAATTACAAAAACTTTGGTCTCTAATAGTTGTTTCTTGGGTTTAACGACCTTATGTACCCTAACTAGGACAATCTTTGGTTAGTTAAAATCATTTTTTGTTAGCAAAGAAATCAAATATTAAATAGTAACAGTCGTTAAAGAAAAACAACTATTTAAAGTTTATTTCAATAAAGAATTTTCATCTCATGACTAGTATATTGCAAACCTTGATAAATATATGAGATTGCATTTCCTAAAGTTTTCATGAAAATAAAATCCAAAAATGATAAGAGGAAAAAACAAAACAAAACAATATACCACATAATATCTCCAAATTAATAATTACTTTAAAATATTTGACAATATTGTGTGAATATCCAAAAAATAAAAGAATAAACCGTTAGAAGTTAGTTCTGAATGGAGCAAAATATGTAATATATACTGTTATTCAACAATAATTATGATAGTAATTACTTGAGAAAATAGTAATTTAAAACAAATTATATAGTTAATTGAATAACCACTGATGACTCATACAACATAGTTAAGCCAAGATAAGCAAAAGAGTTGAAAAAAAATCACTATGTGGAAAATTTTGATTGATCTTAATGATGAGCTTTTTGAATCTATTCTTTCAGGATTGAAAGCAAATAGTTAACATTGGCTTCTTCTCTACTTTGACAGGGACGACCAGCTTATGTCGTTTGTCGAGATGTATGTGTCTACATTCTTACTGCAAGAGGATCATAGTACAATTGCCTTGACGTTTTTATAACGTACAATATAATGAGAGAGATACTGGCACACCATATGTGGCCTAGGCCCTAGCCACCGGCTGAGGCTTTGGCTGTCCCTACCGCTTGCGCCTGCAAACCCTCTTGTGTTCGCGCTGCCAATGAACCTGCTGACACTCAGTACTACAATAGGCTGTGTTCCAGCAACAATGGTAAATGGCTTCTTGCTCACAATTATAGCACTGAAACATTTAATTAAGTAATAAAATTAAACACCTAGTAGGTAAATAAGAAAAATAAATGATAAAATTTAATTACTAAGACAGTTAGATACTTAAGCAAAAAAAGATATATATAGATAGGTAAGGAATAGGTAGGAAATATGTAAGGAAGATAAGATAGGTAAGCAAAAGTAAAAAAATCATTATTGAAAATAAAATAAAATCAATACATCAGCCATAAAATTTATAATAAACTAACTTTACCCGGCTAATATCAAAGGACATCTGTCATTTATAAAAAGTTGAGAAAAAAAATTAGTCTGTAACATTAATTAATTAATTAAGCTTCATTTAAAACTAATTCTAATATTTTTTTTCATGATTCAACATCAATATCCTTCAATGAAATCATCAGAAACAGTTTCAATTAAGCCCATCAACAGAAATGGACTTCTTCTCTGCTTTCTGAAAATGACAGAGATTCGTCCGTCTTTGATACAAAGCCACTTATTATTTTCATGTTTAATTTTATTATTAATATTTTTTAAATTTAATGTTCAACTTTGTTTGGTTATTTTATTGTAAATAAAAATGAAAAATGTTCATTTGTTCAAAATCTTAAATCTCGGAAAGTTCTTCACCGATTGTCTTGAAATTTTAGTTTAAAGTTGCATTCAAATACGCTCATGATTTTATATACCTACTATTGTAAAATATAAGGCAAAACTATATATATATATTTAATAAAAACGCACTATCAGTTGGATGTAAAAGCAATACATGTTGTTCAAAATATTTTAAGATATCGTTTCAATGTTAAAGATTTTCAAATATCAAACGTTGCAATGCATTGCAATTATGCTATATTACCATAGCGTTCATTTCGTGTGCATTAGAGCTGCCTTCCACCTCCTTCAAAAGATTTCGCATACCCCTGCTAAGATATTTGATTGCCCGCTTTTTTCTAACAACTTCATTGAATATAGAGTTATAAAAACTGTAGTGGAAAAAGAAATCGTAGGGAAAATGGCACAGCCTTATTCAAATGTAATTTTAAAGAAAATAATTTGTTGAAAAATAAAATAAACTAAAAACGATGAATAACTGATTTCTAAAAGGAATCAATAACATAACGGTGATAATTATTACTCAAGGGTTCAAAAATTTTAAATAATAGCATATCAAATACTTGAGATGTATCTTACTACTTCCCGAATACATTGGAGGAAAAATATAAAATTTGAACTTAAAGAGCGTCTAATAGAATTGACCTACACAAAGAGAATCATATCACTTCTTCTAATGTTAATATCAATTAAAACGAATAACCAAAAGATTGGGGGGAGGAGGAGGTGGAATGGCATTTTTTGAAGAAACAGTAGTAAATGTTTAAAACTCTATATCTCTGCAACGAATTGTCCGATTTCGATGATTTTTTTTATATTATAGGGAATTCAGGAAGCTTTTAAATAAATATGAGTATTATCACTAAAAAAATGTGTACTTTTTTTGAGTTATTCGCAAATAAAATACTGAACTTACTTTTGCCAAATTTCATTAAAATCGTTACAGCCGTTTTGGCACTATAGTTTACACACGTATTTTTCGGCTGCGATTCCGAAACGAAAGGCCGGACGGTAGCAAAATGTTCAAAGCATTGGGTGAAAATCTTTCGGAGAATAGCGGCTTTGAACAAAAAAACATTTACATCTTTATGATTTTTACACATATAAAATTATCATCAGACAAAAGTACTATGCCAGAAACCTTTGCAGGAGTGTATGCAACAACTTCCCAAAGTGTCATGGCGATCGGATGAATGGTTTAGTAATGCATAAAGGACAAACAGACAGATATACATTCATTTATATATATATATATATATATATATATATATATATTATATATATATATATATATATATATATATATATATATATATATATATAAAACTGAAATATGAACAAAAAAAAAAAACACAATTGGCAACCGGGACTAAGATAACAAATCCCTCTTAACTTTCCTCATCAGAAAGGCTAAACTGTATTTATGTTTTTTTTTCTATTTGACTATACTCACATCATTTTTATTTATTTCTTAGAAATATTTCTATTAATGCAATCATGTTTTACATTTTTATTTTACTTTAAGAAGTCTCTTCAATTAATTTAACAACCACAATTAGCTCTCTGAAACTTGAAACTGAAGGAACTTATCAAGGTTGAGAACTTATGATTTTCTCAACTTTGGAAAAATTTATGGTGAATTCCTTATAAAACAAAATAACATATTACTAAATTTCCTAACGGGTGGGTGCTAGAAAGTGTTTAATTTAAATCTCATTAATTTTTATTTTATTGAGGATAATGTGGAGACAACAATCATTAATGGTGTTAGCAGTGAATCTAAGCATTCATTGAAGCATTGTAAACTCTTTAGTAAAATATTACTATATTACAAAAAATGAAATAAAGAAACAAATAACAAACCCATTGCTTCTTCTTTGTGGCGGCAACTTCTTGGGAATGTGTCTCCTTCAGAGTTTTTAATTCTTCCGCATGTGCAGTCCGTACTTCGTCTAGCTCTTCTTTAAGCTATGCATATATAAACCGTACAGTGAATTAAAAATATAAGAACGATGGAATAAAATATAATATAAATACAAAAATAAATAAAGATGAAGGGACTATAGAGGCCATTATTTTCCAACTTTCATACAGTTTAGATTCTATCCAGATCTTATTTAAATCAATAGAAAAACGATGTGAACAAAATTTTATATATGTATTAATTATTTTTGTGAGATGTTGCATAACATCTTCAGCACAAAAAATAATATTGCAATGATTAAGAAATTGGCAAAATTGAATTACCTTTTCATGCCGAGGTATGCCTTTTCAATTGTTTTAGAGTTCCTGAAAACCCAAAATCTTCAGAAGACAAATTTAAGCAAACAATAGAGAAGAAAGATATAACCGGTTAAATGCAGGCATACACTTTTCTTTGACATGACAACAAGCTACACACATTGAAAGGTTGAAGAAAAAAAATTGAGTGAAGATTGAAGCCTGGTTACTACTACAAAAAGTAATTAAAACACCTTATTATGATTCCCTTTAAATGCGCTGACTAATAAATTAATAATTCAGAAATTTGTTAGGCTGCAGACAAAAACTTGCTCTCATATAGTTTTCCTATTCAATCGAAATTTCGTGAAGCCTATTTTTTAGTTGGTTAGAATAAAATTAGGAAGCTTTTTTTTTCTATTGGCATAACAGATCTTGTGAATCTTTTGCCGCCTTGATAAGCCTGCTCTCCATCTCTGCCTGTCTTGGGCTATTTCTTCCCATTTATCTGCATGCAGCTCTATTGCATCTTTGTGCATTCTCAAATCCGATAATATTTTCATTAAAAGCACCCCTGACAATATAATAGTGGAACCTTATATCAATTAAGTGGGTCTTCCATAATCTAATATGGACAACATTATTGAAGGAATTAAAAGATAATATCTATAATCATAATAATGATGTCGTAGTTGAGAAATAAAAAATACTCTAAGGAATTCGGCTGAGTACATTTTGTACTTAACTAATGTATGATGCAGCACGAATACTCGCCGAGGTCGGGCCGAGTACTGAAAGTACTTGTTACTTTTTCCTTTTATTAAATATATATATATCCGCGTTACTTTTATTAAAAAGTAATCAAATAATGAAAGTAATAGAGTACTGTCCATCTTCAACTGTGGGATTATAAATTATTTTAAATAATCCATATGAAAAGTATTTTAGAAGAAACTATTTTGAAAATTTTGCATTGCAGGGCGTTCAGACTACTATAGGATAACAACTATCTGACATTAACATCCATTTAATTTTATGTTTATGTAATTGTTTTAATTACTGTCATTAGAGCTGCTGTCTAAAATCAATTACATATAGTATCACTTTCTGCAAGCCGATTTCATTGAAAAGATTTGTTGCAATAGCCTAGGAATATACCCCTTAAATACATGATATCATTTTTCTGTAACTTTCTGCAGTTTTTGAGCTAGACTGCACACACTATGAAATGTTAATTTCAAAGTCACATAGTAATTATAATAAATTTTTTTTTTTTGGCTTCTAATATTTATTTGCACCTGTCAACTTGTGTCGACAATCAGCGAATGTACTGAAATACGAGAACTAATGACATGCCAGGCATGGAGGCATGGGAAAGGACAGTCGACCTCATCGCAAGCAAACATTTGAATATAAAGTGCTGCTTTCAAAAATAGCAGCTGATTTAAAGAATATTAGGCCAGTAACTTGAAGATCGAAATGGGAAATTCATTGCGAAAAATGTGAGAAAAGTTAAAAACAAAATTGCTAATGCAAGCCACCAAGGGAAAAGTTTTAACAGCCCAAAATGTCCAATTTCTCAAAAAATATAAATATTTTTTTTAAATAATGTTTTCAGAGGAAAACACTTTATTTTCATAAAAAAAATACAATATAAAAGATTGCTGCCCAATTATATTGGATTGCTATATACACAGCATACTCTTTAATTCTTACGACAATAAATGAACTTAAATATAAATATACAGAAGTGGTTAGTTTATATTAGTCAAATAGATATATATAATTTTTTTTTCTTTCTTCCTTTCATTGTTCATACTTCTTTTTTTTTTTTTTTTTTTTTTTTTTTTTTTTTTACATTTAATTTCCCTTTATCTCTATTATTTTCAATTTTTCATTAAATAAATAAATACATAAATTAAAACTCTCAGCCTAGCCATGCACGTGGTGGTGAATGATTCCCAGGGAGTCGAGGACTATATTTTCAGCCAACCTCGCTACGTCCTTAATGTCGACATTACTCCTAAACGATGCATCAAAGTGAAAAATGTACTCTTTAAGAAATTAAAGAGTGTTAAATTTTGCATTTAAAGAGTACCTAAAACTAATAATTTGAATAAGTGGTATAGTAGAAAACCAAGCTGTAATTTCGTTCCTTAATTTTATTTTAATCTTAATTTTAATCCGATATACAAGTTAAAAAAATAAAAACTTGTAAATATGTTGTCTAATATTTAGTGAGCCATGGTGCTATTTTAGAATATGAGAAGGTTACAATATTTGTGTATTGGTTTTAAAGTTGGGTTAATGATTGTAAAGTACTAAAGGACCCTAAGATAAGGACTTTAATTCAATTTGTAAGATTGTGATGTAAGGGTTATCAGACTTCAAACGATTCTTTAACTCACTAAAAGAATTAATTTATTTACAATTAATTTATAAATGATAAGTGCGATATAAACAAATAAAAGAAAATACAAAACAAAGTATTATTACCTAAAAGAATTGAATTTAAGTCCTTATCTTAGGGTCCTTTAGCACTTTACAATCATTAACCCAACTTTAAAACCAATACACAAATATTGTAACCTTCTCATATTCTAAAATAGCACCATGGCTCACTAAATATTAGACAACATATTTACAAACTTTTCTCACATTTTTCGCAATAAATTTCTCTTTTCAATCCTCAAGTTACAGGCCTAATATTCTTTAAATCAGCCACCATTTTTTAAAGCAGTGGCTCTGGAACAGCAGGCAAACTTTATTTTACTTAGAATAATATACACTTTCATAATTTTCATTCAAACCTTCGCCTGGGATGAGGTCAATTTTTGGGCCCTGGCTTCAGAACTATTAGGTTGTCTAAGAAAGGAGATCTCTCATACAGTACCTTTTTAGTCTCCTCCTCATATTCAGGGGTATGTCAGCTGTTTGTATATCTCTTATTAATCTATTGTAATGTAGAGATGGGCAAATGCCAAAGTGAGAAATGAGTCCCGAGTATTTTACTCAATTATTGACCTCACGATTCTGATTATGGCACTCAGATATTCAACTTGTCTGAATCTGAGTATTACTCAAATAGCTGAACTGTGCCACTTTGAGTATTTTACGCACGGCCTATTATAAATTATAGTTTCAAGTACCATATGCCTATAGGTAAATATATAAATTATATCGGCAGATGTGCCATTGTTCATAAATATTGTTAAATGTAGACTTTTAATTGTTCAACTCACTACTAATAACAAGTTTTGGATTTCTTTTTAAAATAATAACGACAATACGATCCTGTTATACGTATAAATTTATTTAAAATTTTCATATACAGTTTTATAATAAGGTTTAAAGACTCGATTTTTAATAAATAATCTCCATTTTGTGTGCATGACGGAGACACTCAATAAAGTTAGAATCGGTAATAATCTGTCGGAAAAATTTGAGGTTCGTTCGGGTTTAAAACAGGGGAATTTACGTTAGGGCACTTTACAATCATTAACCCAACTTTAAAACCAATACACAAATATTGTAACCTTCTCATATTCTAAAATAGCACCATGGCTCACTAAATATTAGACAACATATTTACAAGTTTTTATTTTTTTAACTTGTATATCGGATTAAAATTAAGATTAAAATAAAATTAAGGAACAAAATTACAGCTTGGTTTTCTACTATACCACTTATTCAAATTATTAGTTTTAGGTACTCTTTAAATGCAAAATTTAACACTCTTTAATTTCTTAAAGAGTACATTTTTCACTTTATACATAATTTGCTGACAAATATTTCAGACGTGTACAGTATTTGAGTTATTTCAAACGGTTACAGAGACGTGACTATTGACTAGTATTAAAATGAACATAAGCAAAAGGTGCCAATTAATATAAATATAGCTTAGTTTGATAGCAAGTATACAAGGGTTAGATGAATAATTTTTATAAGAAAGACATTTTCAATTTGTGCAAATGATACTTAGGACAGCATATTATACAATGTTTATCATAATATAAGTTTGTGTTATATTAAGGATTACATAGGCTATTGTTTCAGGAGGCAGAAAATATTTGAATATGTATTGCAGATCTTTTCTTTGTATACTTTATGGTTTACCGGATTATTTTTTCCAAATTAATGAATATAGATTCCGATAGTAGTCGTTTTTGGTGATTGGGAACTGTAGCGAGTATGGTTGGGTTTTCGAAATCAAATGTGTGGTTTAGGGTTATGGCGTGTTCCGCTAGTTTTGAGTTGATAGATTCATTTTTTAAAAATAGCTTTTGGTTTCTCCTATATAAGAAGAATTACAGTTTGGGCTAGAGCATGTGATATGGTATACAATACCTACCAAACATGTGTCAGTACATGAACAACCTCAGTGCTCAAACCACGGTTAGTAAGAGAAAATATTACAAATTTATATAAACGGATTATATACATTATTTTTAGTTTGTATAACTATTTTACAATATTATGTGTATTACAATATTAGTTAAGATTCATATGCCATCAATCACTATAGTTTATTATTTATAAATATTTAAAAAAGACTGCGTCCTGAATATTTATCACCCATGATATGTAGAGTTTTGTTAATCACCTACCAATGTGCTTTTGTTCTGAGTCACAATAATTTTGATTGGAAGTTTTGAAGGTGGGTCTTTTTAGCAATGCTGAATATCTGTGATGAGTATGTCCGTATTGGTTTAAGTAAGTATGTGTATATATTCAGCTTCTGTCTCAGTTTCAGTTTTTATGATTTAGAAAAAAAAAGGGTAGAGTAGTTTGTTAAGTGTCATAAGTTTCATTTTCACGTGCGGCCCGATGCCATTCTTCTGTTGAAAGTAAATCCAAGATAAAGTACCATATCCGTTTTAGAAATTTGTTAGTTGTCAATATAAACTGGAAGGCAGGCAATGCTATTTATTTAATTTAATATAATTTTATTAAATTACCTTAGCTATTATTTCTATATTAGCTTTTTCTTTCTTAACTGTCTGAGTTCCAAAAGATCTCACTTGAGGTTCCATACAGGAAGAACTCACAATTTCTTCTTCATTCTTCTAAAACAGTACATAAGCATAAAAATATTGAAGAGATGAAAGCCAATTTAACTGTTTCATTATTTGAAATAAAATTGAAAATTACTCATAGTAATTTTGCAATTTGATAGCTTAAAATAAAAATCAGAATGGTAATACTCTAATTAATTAACAGTATCAACCTCAATAAATTTATAGGAGAAAAAAAATTTCCTTTTATATCTATTTAATAATCATGATAGATTGTTGAAAAATTGACAGCAACAACTATTAAAACTTTTATTTAGATGACTTTGATTATGTTATTTTTAGATGACTTGAGAATGAGCAAATCAGCTCGAAACTTCGTTTGAAGTGGAATAAATCTTTAAAGTATAAGGACTTATATATTCTTTGAAGACATCATTTATAAGAAACTCAAGACTTTCGGATGTTCACAAATCCCACGACATGGGATGAAATCTGCTTGCCAGGAGCTTAAAGACACCCGACAGCTACAAATTTAAATATTCATAGATGTCTATTATCCTGATAATCTACCACAATGTTTAAGTTGATATTGAATAGCACTCCTTAGGATGAATTTCTGTAGTGGGTTCTTTTTTTTAAATTCAAATATTTTTTGTTTATAAAATATTAACATTTATTTGAAACCAATTAATAAATGAGATACTTTAACTATAATAATAATGTTTTTAGTATCTTGAGCTCAAATTATTTCAAAATATTCACAAGATCTCACTGAATAATAACATTAATTTAAAATATCAAACCTAAAAATCATTCCAGCCATTTTCTCAAAAAATCATCACATACCTTTAAGCAAATTGACTGACCATATTTTATTCAATCATAGGTCAGTGTTTTTTTTTATAGCTCATATTGTTTCAAAACACTCAGGAAATCTTACCGAATAATTTAAGCCATCAAAATTAAAAATGGATACAGCCGTTAGGTTCTAAAAATCATTACATAGCTTATAGCGAATCAATTAAACACATTTTATTCAATCACAGGACAGTGATTTTGGCTGAAGTTGTTTTGAAACACTCAGGAGAACTCACTGAAAAACGTGAGCCATTGATCACAGACAATTGGATTCACAAAAGTTTTGAGAAAGAAGACAAGAATGTTTGGACGTGTTAAACCTTCAATACCATGAGTTCCTTAAGCTTATTGTTATACTGGTCAACTATATCAATTGAATGGGGATGAAAATTGCTTTAGAAGCAAAAATAAAACAAGTTTTTGAAATTTTCACCTTTGTAGTAGACGGAGCTGTGGTTGTTGGGCTTTCAGGTCTCTGGTTTTCTGTTTTAATTTCTTCTTCATTCGAAATTTCACTCGCAACTTCACTTGTTAATTGTTTATCTAAGGACAATTTTTCTTCAACTTCTTCCTCAGGTTTTTTCCGCCTTGGCCTTCCTGGTTTTCCTATAAACATAAATATATTGTACAATGTATTTTTTGTTTTTTAAATTTTAATTTCATTTATTTTTACTTTCACCTACTATATTTGTAATATATATAGTAATAGTATATATGTAAGATATATATGTGAAAATTTTCAAATCTGAGTTTTCAACAGAAACACATGTTATGAAGTCTCTTGAGTCCAAATAACCATGTTTCGCAAAATGGCCTGTATATGTGTCAGTGATCAGTTTAGCTTAAAAACAATAAGTCATATTCAATTGAAATTGAGTATTTAAGATTTATACATGCTTGGGATGTTACAACAACTTTTTTGTCAAAATTAATAATGTCGATTTTACAATTTTCACGAAAACGGCTCGAATGATTTTGATTAAACTTACTATATCAGTATAAAATCAAGCAGTTTTTATTATAATGTAGGTCTCATTCTCATTGATGTTCTATAATAGAGCTCAAATTCCTAATTTCCAAAGTATCTTCCTCTGAAGTACCTTTCATTTTTCATTTTTTTTATTTGAGATAATTAACCCTTTCACGTTTGAACCAGATAAAAAAACAGTTAAATATAGTGAATAAAGAAAATTGATTGGTAACTAAAGGGGAAATAAGGAAAGGTATAAGCTAAGTACGAAGCTCGGTTGTTTGGGCGAGATCGCCTGACCTTTGCCGCTCCCTTTTCTGATACCCAATATCCCTCTGTACAGGACTTTCATATTATTAGTTTAAGTTTTATGTATCATTTAACCATATTTTTTTTAAAAAGAGGTTTCATGAGAAATTTTGAGGATTTACTAACATAAACCTAATAATATACAATATTTACTAACATTAAGTAATTTTTTCGACAAGTTTTGTGATAAAAGTTTCCGATAAAACTCAGAATTTTTCCAAAAGATCCATTTTCTTCACAATCATTCGTATTGTTTGATATTATACAGTCTTAAAGGGAAATAGAAAGTAATGCAAATTAGGTCTGGAGCCAGGGCCCAAAAATCGACCTGATCGCAGGTGTAGGTTTGGTTGTAAATTGCGAAAGTGTATGTTCCTGTGAGTAAAAAGAACTTCGGCTGCCATTCCAGAATCGCTGCTTTTAAAATTGGCGGCTGGTTTAAAGAAAATAACGATAGTAACTTGAGGATCGAAACGGGAAATCAATTGTGAAAACGTGAGAAAAGTTTTTATTTTTTAAACTTGTATATTTGGATTTAAACATGTAAAAAACAAAATTGCTCACGCGAGCCACCAAGAGAAAACTTTTTACATCAAAAAAAGTAAGATTTTTTCAATTTTTTTCTGTACAGAACATTAAATTGTGTGTCGAGTACATAAAGTTAATAATTTGGTAACACAGTAAGGTATAAAATCACTGTCAACCAATGCTGATTTTTACCAAATTTTTGAATTACTATAAATGGCTCTGTAACTTGGAATTGAGTTCTCTAAGAGAAAAAATCTATAGAATCAAACTTGTAGAGCATAAAATTTTACGTTTTCTGAGTTCTGACTTTTTTATTATAGGTCAATTATATATCTCGAATCGGGATTCGTTATTCATTATCATTTATGAAGAGAAGAATAGTTGGGGTGTTCAGTCAAAAAGGAAGGCAAAAATAAATTATAATATTTATATTTTACATAAGATCTACTAACTCTAACTTACGACTTGCATTCAAATCTCACAACACTCTCTCCAAATTATACACATCCCTAAAAGATCCGGTTCCTCTCTCACACCGCTCTCATATCGTTTACCGTATTCCATGTTCTACCCCCAATTGTTTTTCATCCTATATTGGTGAAACCAAAAATCTCCTAAAAGACCGCATAACCCAACATAAATATTCTGTATCCTCTCGTAATTTTACCGCTTCCAAATTATCCGAACATTCTCTCTCCCTCAATCATTCATTTGATTTCGACAAAACATCCATCCTTGCCACAGCTCTCAACCATGACAAACGACTCATTTCTGAAACCCTCCACATCCAGCTTCAACCAAAGACAGTGAATCTTAAATCTGACAAACAGAACTTTTCTTTAGCCTACTCCCAAATTCTGAATTTATTAAAACATCCATAGTTATATTCCTTTCCTTTTTGCTGACAACTCCCTTATATATATATATATATGTATATATATATATATATATGTGTGTATATGTAATATGTATGTATATGTATGTGTGTGTGTGTATGTGTGTGTGTGTATGTGTGTGTATATATGTATGTATATATATATATATATATATATATATATATATATATATATATATATATATATATATATATATATATATATATGTATATATGATATATTTTTATTTCAATTTTTCTCCATTATTACTCAATAGTTATTTTTCTTTTGAATTTTTCTTTCACATTCTATTAACTTTCGTTCAATTTTCCATAATTTTTCTGAATAATATATCTCTCTATTTAGGCTTCCAGCGCTTTAGTTCAAACTTCGTCGGATAACGGTTAGAGATGACACCACCTACACATCTCTTCTCTCTCCCCCTCTCTTGTAACGACTTTTATTCTCCCTTCGACACTTAAGGAGAAAGGTAGTACTTCTTTTATTTCTTTCTTATTTCAGCTTTCTCAATTTCTTCCCTCCTTCCTTTCATTCCTTTTCTCTGTTTTTAACTCTTTATTATATTATACATTGTCTGTACATCTTGATAGACTTTACAATATCTCAATTTTCTATCTAACTACTCCATTTTCAATGTTTTAATTTTACTATTTATTTTCATTTCTTATATAACTTTATATTTCTTTTTATGTTTTACATTTTATTCTAAGATTCCCATTGTAACACTTTTGTCACCCTTTTTGATTATACCTACTTCATCATCCCACACTATGTAACAGTTTTTATTATTTATCTCTTAGTTCTTAGTCATTATTCTAACAATTTCATTTTACTTTATATTTATCTATTTTATTTTTCTAATAATTATTATTATTTTTTTATTATTTTTTATTATCTTTTTTACCATCATTTCTTATGTTTCTCATACCTTGTTATCTGGTTATTTTCTTAGCCCTGATGAAGGCCTGAACTTCAGGTCGAAACGTGGCATATGTAAAAAATAAATATTATAATTTATTTTTGCCTTCCTTTTTCACTGAACACCCCAACTATTCTTCTCTTCATTATCCACGACAGTCAACCAATTACCAATTACATTATCATTTATGAAATATGATATCTTTCGACACATCGTTTATCAACATCCTTCGCTATTGAGAGCTGGAAAAGAGACTTATACTTTATGTAACAGACTCTAAACAAAAATAACTCAGTAGAATAGATATCCATACTGTTCAAAATCAATTTTATCTTTATTACCAAGTTTCAATTCATCGAGAGATTGCCGATTTTGTTTAGAGTAAGTGATCTACATTAAATTAGTCGGTTCTCATTGGACGTAAAATTTGATGCTCTACAACTTTGATTCTATGGGCTTTTCCTCTTGAGGACCTCATTTTCAAGTTGCTGAGCCATTTATTGTAATTTGTATCAGTTTTTGACAAATTTGGTAAAAATCAACGTTAGTTGACCGTGGTTTTATACCTTACTGCGTTACCAAATTATTTCAAATACTATATACATTATTATAAATTATTTAATTTACTAAAGAATACATTTTTCACTTTGATGCATCGTTTAGATGTTATAGTTGAAAAAACAAAAAAAATATTAGTTTTTTTCCCTTGGTGTCCTGCATTAGCAATTTTGTTTTTTACATGTCTAAACCCATATATAATGAATTAAAAAAATAAAAACTTTTCTCACATTTTTTGTCCAGGGCTAAATGTATAAGCTTAACTGAGTTGATGGGCAGGAAAAACATGGTAATTAATTATTTTAAATGAAGTTATATCGTCGTTATCACTTTGACTTCCTATAACAAAATACCTATCTACCCTAAGGTTGGCAAGTGAAAGAAAGTTGTGTGAGGCGCTCACTGCACCAGATTTTTTAGGTATAAGACAGCATCAACTTGGATTAAATTAAAAAAATATATTGAAAACCTAATCTATAAAATATTATTGTTTCAATTTTTTAATGTATGCTTGGCAAAACAAGTTTTAAGTAAATTCAAAAAGATAGCGGAAATGTTAAATATATTACGCAAAATTATGAAGAATAAATAAAAGCATTTTATACTTACTAAATACAAGAAATCAATATTTGAATATCAAGTGTTAAACAATTAACTCTATTTTTTGGAAAGAATTTCAATAATAAAATAGTGTTGAGTGCGACAGGAAGACCACTTTTCAGTTGATGCTAACTGAGATGAAAGCTTTAGTTAGTTAGCTCTCTTTCTTGACAATGACAACAAAAATTTTCACCACATAAATCAAGATTCTCCTAGATTTGATGAACTATGCTTTGCTTTGGGTAGCCACTTCCATAGATGATTATTATTTCTTTTTATTCTCTCTTTTAAAGAAATACTTACCAGATATTTTTTCCTTCTTATTGACAAGAAGGAAAAACAAAAAATGAGCCTAGGTACATGGATTTTTATAAAGTAGTAAACATAAAAGAATATTACACATACAAAACATTATGAACTTAATGAGTTTTTGTATCATAAATATGATCAAAATTACAATTATATAATCAATAATGAACTCTTCAACAAAAATATTCTTAGTGTGTTTCTATTTTTATTAGTCTGGATCTCTTTATTTCATACATTTGTGGGTGAATTTTATGCATTGTATACTATTTGTGATTTTATACTTTGGTAGTAATAATTACAAAATCTCTAAATAGAACTTACGTTTTGGTTCTGTTGACACAGGGGTCGTTGAAGGAGTAGATGAAGCAGAAACGGATGTCAAAGAATTCTTAGGAGGGCGACCACGTTTCTTTTTCACAACAACTTCCTTTTTAGGCTCTTCTTTTTTAACACTTTCTTCATCTGAACTAAACCTGAAAAATAAACAAGAAAGAAACTTAAGTTTATCCATCATAATATTAAAATTTATTCTGTACAGCTAAAATGTAAAAAATAAATAAAAGAAAATCTACACCTTAGATGAAATCATAAATTAATATTAAGAAAATTTTATTCACGGAAAAAACTTTCAGTGATACAGATAACTATCTTGTAAAATCTTCATTCAAATATAAAATATCCCTGCGATCTTGAGAGACAGAACTTTATGTGAGTAAACTGAAGGAATAGGAACTAACAGATTTTCACAGAAAGTAACCGATAAACTGGTAGATGCTTCTGACTAATTAAATAGCAATCATATCGACACCAGGTGGAATGCTATCAAAAGCAGTTTGGGAAAAGCAGCAGATGAAGTGTTAGGAAAGAGAAATAAAGAGAATAAGTGTGGTTGGTTTGATATGGAATGCCATCAAGCCCTGACAGAAAAGAAAGCGGCGCGAATGAAAATGCTGCAAAGAGTGACTAGAGCAAGCCAAGATAAGTACTCTGGCAGGAGGAGGAATGACAAGAAAATCTGCCGTCAGAAAAAAAGAATATGGCTAAGCTAAATATGCAGTTAGAGGAGCTCCAGAATGATCGATCACAGCTCAAAGAACACAAGGAAATTTTATAAAGGTATTAAGGAAATAAAAAGAGGCTTCCAACCAAATATCTCGTACTGCAAGACAAAAGAAAGGGCCATAATAGGTGAGCCTGCTAAAATATTGCATAGATGGTCTGAATATTTCAGGGGAATTCTTGTAGAACCCAAGCACCAAGATGGGGAAGAAAGAATCAAGCTGCTGAAATGCCGACTGGGTTTACTCGGAGAAGGAGATGAGGAAGTAGAGCCGCCTGAACAGGAAGAAGTTGAAGAAATCAATGGCGAATTAAGGAACAATAAGGCTCCTGGTATTGATGGCATACATTCAGAAATGCTCAAAAATGGAGGGGATAATTTAAAAAGATGTATATTCCAATTGGTGTGGGACGTTTGGTTTGAAGAGAGAATGCCTGAAGAGTGGAAAATGGCAGCCCCTTTCATAAAAAAGGCGACGAACTATCTTGTGGTAATTATCGAGGGATAGCACTACTGAATACAGCGTACAAGGTATTTTCTGTATTATTGAATCAACAGCTGATAAAGTTTTCCGAACAGATAGTGGGCGACTATCAATGTGGTTTCATGCCTGGAAGATCAACAATCGATCAAATATTCTCACTAAGACAAATTCTTGAAAGGGGATATGAATTTCACATTGAGCTCCATAATTTATTTATCGATTTTAAGCAGGCATATGACAGTATTGAAAGAGAAGAATTACTGAAGATAATGCTTGAATTGGGAATTCCCAGAAAGCTCATTAGACTAGCAAAAATGACAATGCATGATAGCAGGATGAAGATAAAAATACAGGGAAAGCATCAGAAGAATTTGCAGTAAATAGTGGCCTGAGGCAGAGAGACCCTCTACCATCTGTCCTTTTTAATTTAGCCGTGGAAAAAGCTATTAGAACAATACGAACTAACCCTAATGGAAAATTTATGATCTGCTCATACAGCACTTGGCATATGCGGATAATGTGCTCATAATGGCCAGAAACACTGCAGCGCTAGGAGGAGCATTTGAGGTGTTTGAAATGGAAGTAGCAGAAGTGGACCTTCATGTAAATGAAGGAAAAAAAAAAATTCAAAAATGTCCAGACACCAACAACTGGAATACCATGATCTGCAGGTTGGCAATCACAGTTTTAAAAGTACAAACAAGTTTAAGTACCTGGTTGCAGTCATTGCACATGACAACAGCATGAGAGAAGAAGTGAATGCCAGGCTGGCTTCAGGTAACAAGTGCCTTTATGCCATACAAAGGAACATTAAAGTTTAAAGCTCTTTCCGAAAAAGCAAAACTCATGATTTTTGAAACCATACTGAGACCCATAGTTAAATATGGCAGTGAATCCTGGGTATTGACGAGAAACAATTACGAGCTCCATGCAATGTATGGCAAACCAGAGCTGATATCATTTGTGAAACTGAAAACCAGCCTGAGATGGCTCGGTTTATGTTGAACGAAAATAACTATACACAACCATCAAATTAATGTTTCATATATTGAAAAAAAGAGAGAGAAAAGAAAAACTTACCTTTCCCTTTTAAGAGAAGAAGGACTTTTGACGATTGGCTGAGTCTCTTTAACCAGAGATATTTTTTCTTTTGAAATAGGCTCTTCAACATCACTATCTTCACTCTATAATAATTGACAGAATTTAAATGTTAAAACATAGAATACAAAAATAAAATCCAACAAAATACATAACAATGACAAATAATATTGTTTTTTTGAACCTACAGTAATTATACTTTTCAAGTAAAATATTTTGTTATAATTATACAACATATTAACAAAAAAATGAAATCTCAGTAGGAAATTACAAAATAAATCAAATTACTACTAAATTTTAAAATATGATTTTAAATCTATAATCTGATTTGATATATTTTATAAATGAAAGTTTGATATAGAAAAGAACACAACAATTTAAAAATGAGAATATTAATAATAAATAAGGAGTTCCGATTCACAATATTAATGTCCATTTCCATTTTAATACTTAAAATTCATTTTTATTTGAAAAGATGATTTAAATAAAAAAAAATGATTTTGCAGTAAACAGTAAACTTTAAAGCTTTATAATTTAAATTAGAAGAAATAACAAAACACAGCATACTTTTGACATTTCTAATCAAAACAACTATACAATGCTGGTTCAGATAATAGAGAAAATGCATTTTGATCCACAGTTCCTCAAATTAATAAGTAAAATTAATGCTCAAGATCCAAATATAAACTAATCAAATAACATTAAATGAATAGAGAAAAGCACATAAATATTAAAAAAGTTTACTAACATCAGAAGGTTGATTAGAAGCAGATAACATTTTCTGATGCCTTGCTAACTCATCCATCGCTTTAGACCAGGCCGGACAGTTTTTTTTTAAGTAACCTACAGGATCAGTAATAGGCAATGTTGAGTCTCGCTCAACAGTTGCTCGTGAATGCTCAGGTCCGAAATATACAACTTCAAGTTTATCATCTTTTTCTTGAAGAACCTATAAATAAATATCAAATTCACATTAATGACGATAATAGTAATAAACAAAAAAGCAACAAATATACAATTCAATAAAAGCCATTAAAAAAAATAGAAAGAAAGAAATCTGCAAAAGTTAATTAAAATTATATGGCATTTGATTTATTATATTGTGTTGACTTATATAAAGATATACTAACTTTGGCTGGCATGTAAGGAGAACCAGCAAAGACAAGCGTATGAGGTGGGCGACATGGTTTGCAGAACCAATGTCTATTTTCTCGACGAGCTGCGGCTTCATAACATGAATGACAAGCTCTAATTTGAGCTATTTCAGAAAGACACTCCCGAAGCATTTGTCTTGACTTATCAGCAAGATCTGAATGCGCTAGAAAAAACAAAAAAGATTAATCATACAATAGGAAATAATTTTTCAAATGTTTAACTAATTTTTCATTGAAAGGTCATTTATTACAATGGTAAATTGTTGAAAGAGATAATTTCTATTTACAATGTCATTAATTTATTAATTAGGCTATTCATGCAGTTTACTTAATCAATAATAATACATTAAAAATAACGGAAATTTCATATTCAGAAACATTAAAATAGTAATAAAAACAGGTTCAACAAACATACCTCCATGAAAAATGACAACAGAATGAACAATTGATTGTGCATGAGCCAAGAAAGCAGCAACATTAGGATACTTTTGGGATTTGGCAGCAGCCATCATTGTACCAAGATCGACAGGTCGATAGACTAGATAACGAACTCGCCAACTCTCTTTGGCTCCACCGATGTCCACCTGAGCACCTGGACTTCCAATCAGAATTGACCGACGAAGGAATTCGCTTGAATTAACTAAAGATGAATACTAAAACATAACAAAAATTTAATTTAAGAGGAATTTATTAAGGAAATAAATTGTAACCCAAAATTATCACTGATTAAAGTTTATATAAACCTATATATTCAGTAGTAAGCTAAGAAAATATTCTAATGAGAGGAATGACTAGGAAGGAAAAAAGTTCTTAAAAGAAGATAGATCTAAATCATGACGAGGATTTTGTTGAGCATAAAGTAATCAGAATCAGCAAGTTGATTTGGTGGGGTGGGCAAAAAAGAAAATATTAACTATTTTAAGCATTTTTATAACATTCATTGCGTTTTGATATCTAGAAGTACGTTTGTCTAGTTTTGGCATTCCATAAAATTAAACCAGTCCATTTTTTAATTTTGTTGTATTTTTCAGTTATTTTTATGAAGGGTATGATAAAAATTATTTATTTAAAGAAATTTACATTAATTCCCCATAAATGGTTTATTTAGTTCTTCTTAATTGTGGTTTAAGTACACATTTGTTCTATCAGCAAATAGATCAACAAACATTTGTCCATTAGAAAAACAGTCATATTTTATTGTTGCTCCAACAAGCATTAAAATTTGTCCCTACCCTTTATTTATAGTGACTACACACACAATCGCCTAATTTTCCACATTGATTGATGTTTATGGTTACTGCTCCATTCATACATATTGTAATGTTATAAAACCAAAAGTATATGTATATTTGTAGATCATTTATATAGATGGAAAATAAGTTTGGATTGAGGAAGGATTCCTGAGTAAGATCTCAAGAAAAAAGTAGTAGTGTTGATAGTTATGGAGTGGAGTGCAAAATAGGTAACACTATATAGTTTAGATAGAGGAACTATATCATGAAGAAAATACAATAAAATGTAAGATAAATTAAACAGTTACCCTATCTTTCAGAACAATGCAGACCCACGTCAGCAACATATTCAGCTTACTCAGCTTTATATTGGGTAGGGAAGAATCTTCATCACAACTCTGTAAACATTGCAACATCATAAAATTAGAGATACTAATGTCTTCTATTCCACCTATATCCATATAGTATATATCATAGGTTTATTGTAAAAAGGCATTACGTGACATTTTATAACCTTAAATCACTAAGAATTTCGATAAATTTTCCCTTTTTAAAGCCATAAAATTGAGCAGTTGTAACTATGTTTGATATATAAAAGGGTTTACATCATTTTAGTCTACTTACTTTTTTTTTTTTTTTTATCAATGAACAAGAGCCAAATTCATAAAAACTTTCTTGAAAGTCCAGCTCCATCAATAATGTGATTTTTTGCAATAAAATTTTTATTAACATTCTTTTTACGGGTATCATCACTAGGAATAATAAGTATTAATAAATGTCATTATTTTTCTTTAAGAATTATTTCTTTGTATACATATTTTTAAACACAAAGTTTTATTATAGTAAGTAATTTATAAATGGACGTTTATCTTGCTCACATTGGCCAAAAGCTTAGAAATAATTTATTTCAATTATTTTTTACTGAAAACAGTAACTTATATAAGAGAAGAAGGAATTTTACATATAATTTTATTACAAAACTGGTGGGAAATTAATCCATATTACAGAGCTGCTAATGATAGGATAGAGGTATCAAGTAAGAATACAGGAAGACCTGTCAGAGGCATTCATGACCACACAAGGCCTAAGACAAGGAGATGGCCTATCATGAATGGTCTTTAACCTGGCACTAGAAAAGGTGATAAGGGACCCGAAGCACAAAAAAGTGGGACGATTCTCACCAAGTCAGTCCAAATTCTAGCCTATGCAGATGATATACAGCCTTGACCAAAAGTATTAAGCACCAACATATTTTATTAAAACAAAGTAAAGGAGGATACAAATAATATCTACTTTCATCACATTTCTTTATTTAAACACACAAAAAAGCCAAATTAATATTCTGTCATCAAGTCGTTGGCTTTTATGACCTCACTTATCCTTTTGGGTATAGAATTAGCAAGTCTTGAACAATGTTCTTTGTCTTTTTTCTCTGCTCTTCTTTTAAAAATGGAAACAAGTTGCCTGTCTTTGTTAGCATAATTTACCAACAGCAATTTTTAATTTAGACCATAAGTACTAAATCCGAATGAGGTCTGACGACTGAGGAGGCCTCATGTGTTTTAATATTGTATTTTTTTCAAATCAGTCTTTACTTTTGAAGAGAAGAATGGTTGGGGTGATCAGTTACAAAAAAAAAGTAAAAATAAATAAGTTATTTATTTTTATTTTATAAAAAAAAATAATATACTTATTTATTTTTACTTTTTTTTTTTACTGGTTACCCCTACCATTCTGCTCTTCAATTATTCACTACAGTCAACCATAAATCCACAGTTACAGTCTTTACTTTTGCGTGAAATGTGGCATGGCATCTTTTAAAAAATAATGTTTTCTCTGTCATCAAGTGCAAATATGTTTGTGTGTATTGAGTTTATTTTAGGGAGTTTTTGCAATTTTTAATTTCAATATATTATAATTTAATTACTGCAAAGTTACTTTCATCACACCAAAACACCTTTGCTCAATCTTGAGCACTCCGGCTTAGTTGAAATTTTGTCCAGTTAAGCCTCTTCTTTGGATTGGCTTCTCTAAGCCATAATTTATTCCTGACCTTACAGGCTTTTAGACCACAAGTGGTGAATATCGAACACCACAACGAGAGCACTTCATAGTTTTAGCTATCTCGGATCGGGTATACTCTTCTGATGATGTAAACTATTTTTGTCCGTTCAATCTCAGTCAATTCTTTTACCTTTACCATCTTTAATTTAAAAAAAAATTGAAAATGTAAATTTTGTATAATAAAAACTACCATTAATTGGAACCTTCAACATTCATCAGAGCACAAATGCCAATGGCCAAAGAGTAATTGACTTTGCAAACACTCACGGCCTGGTGGTCGGAAGTACCATGTTCCCAGGCAAAAATATACACAAAGCTACCTGGAGATCACCTAATGGAGCGTTTACCAGCCAGATTGACCACTTCTTAATCAGCTCTCGTCACAGGTCCAATTTAATTGGAGTAAGAACACATAGAGGAGCAAATGTGGATTCGGATCACTACCTCAGTATTGCCTATATACGTGCCCGGATTACCACGAAACTGAACTCGGATATTCGGAAAGTTAAGACGAAATTCAATGTTCATAAACTGAAGGATCCTGAAGTGTGTGAAACATATGAGCAACACCTTGAAACTAAACTGGAGGAGGAACTAAGGGATAGGAATGACACAATGGATGACCAGTGGTCGGGAGTTTCAAGAGCGCTGAAAACTACAGCATAGGAAATCCTTAGATTACAGACAAGAAGCAGGAGGTACCCTTGGTTTGATGATAAATGCTTCGAGGCAACAAATAAGAAAAGTGAAGCGTATAAGAAGGCTATCCAGTGCCATACACATCAAACACAGCAGACATACTGAAATGAAAGAAAAGAGGAAAAGAGATGGCACAGGAGAAAGAAGAGAGCACGGGAGAACTGCAAGATGAAGGATGTAGAAAACTGCAGGAAATCTCGTGATACTCGCCTATTCTTTCAGAAAGTGAATGAGGGCTGTAATGCCTTCAAACCGAAAGTAACTACGTCCAAGAATGAGGATGGGAACCTGTTGACGGAGAGAGGGGAAATTCTGAAGTGATGGGCAAGGCATTTCAGCGGTGCGCTTCAAAGAGATAACTTTGAAGAAGAAATAGCCAGAGGAGAAGAGGACGACTTCTCTAACGATGCCGAGCCACCAGATGATGAAAATATAGAAGCAGCCACAGCGAAGCTGAAAAACAACAAGGCTCCGGGACTGGATGTGATTCAAGCGGAGCTGATACACTATGGAAGAATGCAACTAAGAAAGGAGCTCCATAACCTCATTTTGAAGATATGGGAGGAAGAGAAAATGACTGAGGAGAGTATTATCTACCCACTGCACAAGAAAGGGGACCAATCGGATTGCGACAATTATCGAGGCATAGTGATCCTCTCATGTGCTTATAAAGTTCTCCCTAATATACTATTTGAGAGACTAGTTCCTCATGCCAAGAGGGAGATAGGCAAATATCAAGCGGGATTTAGGCGAGGGAGGTTCACATTGGACCAACTGTTCTCGCTGAGGTTGATGCTGGAGAAATGCTAGGAGTATAGAACAGTTACCCATCACCTCTTTGTTGATTTGAAGCCTACGATAGTGTAACTCGGCCGGAGCTCTATCTGGCCCTGTTGATAATGAACGTCCCAATTAAACTGATACGGCTCGTGAAAATGATGATTTCAGGCTCAAAGTGTGTAGTGCGAGTAGGAAGTGACTTCTCGGAAGACTTTCATACTAACTGCAGTGTAAGAAGGAGAGATGCTGTAGCCTGTCTTCTTTTTAACTTCGCTGCAGAGAAAGCAGTATGTATGTCCGGAATCCAACTCCACGCAAACCTTCTTAACAGTACCGTTCAGCTTCTTGGGTACACTGACGACTTTGATATTGTCGCCAGATCGGAACGTGCATTAGATTGTTCTTGGCCATAGAAGATGCAGCAAAGAAACTTGGGCTACACATGAATAAAGGTAAGACAAAGTATATGAGAGTCGGAGGAGATGGGCCAGGGACCGGATCTTTTGTGGCTGGAACATTTAATTTCGAAAAGGTATGTAGCTTTATTTACCTCGGGTCTGAGGTCAACTCCGAAAACAACATCTCTAGAGAAGTCAACAGAAGGACAGCAACGGCGAGACAGTGCTACTTTAGTCTTTCGAAGCAATTTGGAAACACGTTCCTCTCTAACAGGACCAAGATCACTCTCTACAAAACCTTGGTCCGCCCTGTTTTAACTTATGGATCAGAAGCATTGGCCTTTAAGAAGCAAGGTGAAAATAGACTTCTGATCTTTGAGAGATCAATCTTGAGAAGGATTTTTGGTCCCGTTAGAGAGGGTGGAATTTGGAGAAAAATGCCGAATTCACTTGCCTTTATAAGGACATAGACTTGGTGAAGTTTATCAAGACAGGACGACTTCAATAGGTCAGAAAGGTAGCACTTATGGATGATTCAGTGATACCCAGGAAAATGCTGTCCAGAAAGATGCATGGACAAAGAAGGGTTGGCAGGCCAAATGTAAGATGGGACGACTCGGTGACATCAGACTCACGGACTCTACTGGGAGTCCGAAACTGGAGAGCTGCTACAGCTGATTGTATCGACTGGCGAAAGCTTTTGGAGGAGGCCCAAGAGATGTAGCACCATACATGTATGTATATATGTAATCCATACAGTTAAATATTAAATAATACAAACAATAGAATCTATGAAATCTGCATATGTATATTTGTATAATATTGTCAGAGTCCTTATTATATTAAGCTTATGTTACTTTATGGAAACATGTTATAATCTTTCGGACAAGCACGGGTGCGCTTGAATCGCTTTGGTTTCTAAATTACAACTATTCTCCGTAACAAACTCTCATTTCTCCTTTAGTTAATTATCAAATTCTTTCATAATTTATATTTAACTACCTTTTATACTAAGATGAATGTGAAATGGTCAATTGTTTCCAATAAAAAAAATTAAAGGAACTTTAGGTGAAGATAATATTGAAAATTAACCATTTAAGCCCTGTTAGAGAGCATCAACCCGAATACAACCTACATTTTATTTAAAACTGCTTAATTGTACACAGATATAATGAATTTAATTAAAAATCGTTAGAGCCATTTTCAAAAAACATAAAAATGTGTTTAGTCCATGATATGAAGTGCCACTTCTGGTTAGCTGATTTTGATAAAAAAGTTGCTATAACATTTCTAGCATGTAAAAACCTTAAATATGCAATTTCATTTTCATAAAACTTTTCTTTTTTGAGCTATACTGTTAACATACACACACACACACACACACACACACACACACACACGCAGACTATTTTGCGGGACTTAGTTATTTTGACTCAGGGGACCTCAAAACATGTATTTCGGTTGAAAACTCAGATTCGAAAATTTTCACGATTGAAATAATTTCCCTTACTATATATTCACTTGTAAGTGAAAGTAAAAAAAATTCACATCACATGGCTTGCTATATGTTTGATATATCTTTAAATGTTTTAGCTTGATATAAATAACGTGCAGATGTTCCCTCACTGAGTTTTTTTTTTTTTTTTTTTTTTTTTTTTTTCCTTTCCCTACCTCGCCATTTTAGGCTATACGGGATTTTCCTGGACGGAGGGTGAGGGAAGGGACTTTAAAATACTCTCCGACACCGGGACGCGAACTCGTACTTATTTTTGCCTCAAAAACTTCATATATCTGGTTGCCGGGCAACTCGCGGTGCTGTGCACACACTTTGGGCCATTCGGCCCCCCTCCCCCGATGTTCCCTCACTTATGTTGTTATTTGCCGAACCTTGGAAACTTTTTTTTATTGTTCTCAACATCTTTCATTGAAAACATGACATTAGGTTTACCTACCCATTGTTATTAAAGGATTCAGTTATTGAAATAACAAAAAATACAATAAAATGAAAATAAATATAATGTGCAGTATAATAAAAATATAGCCCATAAGATATAATTACCTGGCAAACAGTGCAAATAAACTTGTCTTTCGTTCCCAAAGTGTTAGTAAGACATGCCACGTGGTATGCTCTATGACACCCTTGACATGGAATAACATCTCCGCCAAGGTGACATTCAAAGCAATACCAATCATGGGATTCATTGTTGTCATCATTCTGAAAGTTAAAGTAATAAATTAAAATAAAGGAAGATGAAAACAAAAAAGTCTTTTATGATAGATGTTGGAAGGTAGTGATGAATAGATAACAATGGTTGAGGAGCAATACAATGCTATTTGATGAAGAAGACTCTATTTCTAAGAATTAACCTCTTTGAAACAATACTGAAGGGTCAGGGAATCAAATCCTATGTCTATTATCTTTGCAGATACCAACTCATATTAACAATTAGAAGGTTTCGGTGTCGAGAGCACCATATTCATATAAAATTTATTTTCATAAATTTTATTTTAATTATTATTTTCATAAACTGAGAGGAGCTAACAGTTGATGCCTGACATATAAAGCTCTTATTTTCTCTATTATAACATAAAGTGAGCTACGGGAGATTCTAATATCAATGTAGTTTCTCATAAGTAATTTAGTTTCTTTATTACTGTAAGCATAATAATTATCCATAAGACACCAACTAAGAATTTAAAAGAAGTATGTGTTTTTATTAAATGGCATAACTCAACCTTTTCTTGTTAAAAGGTTTTAACTTTAAATTTTAGCAATGTTAGTAGATTCAAAAGGCTTGTTGAATTGATCTGCTCACATCCCTTTGAGTGCACCACCAAGCAATCCACCACAAACATCAGTCTAAAGAACCAATTGCATCAACAGATAAGGTGATAAACAGTTTCATCATCAGTGACAGAATATATACAAAGGAGACCCTGCCAACTTGAGTTTAATAATCATATGAAAATGCATTTTACAGTGATACCTACGGACCGCTGTAATTGCATTCAAAGATATCCTGTCCAGATGGAGAAATAATTCAATTCTCTTAACAGAAGGACCAAGAAGGAACAGGTTTGAGTGCAGTTGTTTCTTAATATGCCAATATTGTTTTGCTTTAGCACTCTAAAGTTCAACAATTATTCTTTTGCCAAATCTAAGGATCTAAGACTTATGGCTGCTTCTGGGATTATGGATTTGCTTTCATAGCCTTACCAGGCTAATTTATCAGATTCTCTGTTGCCAAGAACAGCAGTTTTCAAATTTCTTTAATTAACTGCAGCACTCCTTTTGGAGTAAAAGTTTATGCCACCCTTGTCAAACTAAATATTTTTTTTATAGCCAAGTTATCCTTAAAGCCGTAATACACTGACAGGCAAAAAATTCCACCCACTTGATTTTTTCATGTTTTCATCTAAAAATATTTCTGCTTTGGATTGGTCTATTGTTTTAATGAATAAATAGGTAATATTTTTGTTTGTTTTCAATAAGGAATGTTAATATAGAGGACAATAACCCCTAATCCTTAATTCAATGAAATGATTCTAGATTCCAATGTTTACTTTCTATGGAATCAAAATGTTTATTCAGTATCATTAGTTCAGAGCCGTTTCTTGCAGCACATTTCTTAGTCTCCGGCTTTTAATTTTTTCAATATTAAGTTTAAAAATGCCTCTTAGTGAGGAGGATGTTGCGCGTGGTGTGGCACTTATTGCTGATGGACGTTCCATTAGATATGCAGCTAATGCCATCGGAGTTCCATATGAAACTTTACGAGACGCCGTCAGGCGTTTTCGGGAAACTGGTTGTTACAATAGAAGGCCCGGTTCTGGACGGCCTAGGGTAACAGAACCACGGGATGACCGGTTTTTGACTTTTGAGAGTTTTACGAGACCGACACCTTACCATTGTTCAAGCGATTCATCTGCTCGAAGAAGTTCAGGTGTGCAAGGTTCCTTAATGGTGTTCTTGAGCAAAAGCCAGCCGTGTTACTCTGTGAGTTCTGGTCAACTCTGGTCCTCTTACTGGACTTAAAGCCATTAATTCATACTCATTTAATCTTCTCCGAGCGGTACGTTCAGAAATTTGCACACCTCGAACTTCTTCGAGCTGATGAAGTAAAAGCCAGTCGTGTTACTCTATGAGTTCTGATCAACTCTGATCCTCTTACTGGACGAAAAGCCATTAATCCATACTCATTTAATCTTCTCCGAGCGGTACGTTCAGAAATTTGCACACCTCAACTTATTCGAGCTGATGAAGTAAAAGCCAGTCGTGTTACTCTATGAGTTCTGGTCAACTCTGGTCCTCTTACTGGACGAAAAGCCATTAATCCATACTCATTTAATCTTCTCCGAGCGGTACGTTCAGAAATTTGCACACCTCAACTTATTCGAGCTGATGAATTGCTTGAACAACGGTAAGGTGTCGGTTTCGTAAAATTCTCAAAATTTAGGAATTCTCTCGTTACTAAAGCCCAACAACTTTACAAGCCCATTTGATTCTCCGTGATGAAATTACATCAATTATATTACCCGGATACAGCTCACGCAATTCGGCGTTGTGTAACCGTCTGAACTCTCCGGTTAACTCATCGTTCTTCGGTCCGAATATTCTACGCAATACTTTATTTTCAAAAACCTTAAGACGCTGCTCATCCCTTAATGTAAGCGGCCAAGTTTCGCATCCATAAAGAACTGTAGGCAAGATAATTGTTTTATAGATTCTAATTTTTAAGTTCCGGGACAAGAGGCGCGAACTAAGTAGCTTTGTCACAGAAAAATAACAAGCATTTCCCGCCTTCAATCTAACCTTAATCTCTTCTTCAATTTCGTTTTTTCTAGTTATCGTTGAACCTAGATACCTAAATTTATCTACCTGTTCAAACATATTACCATCTATATCGATGTCACCAGTAGTATCGCCATTTTTGCAGCTAACCATATATTTTGTTTTATCTACGTTTATTTCGAGTCCTAGTTCTTTCCCGGCTTTCATTAACGTTGTCGTATTTAGTTTTATAGTTTCAACGTCTTCGCTTAACAGTACCAGATCATCAGCATAGCCCTGTCCAGATCCAACCCTTTCTCGGTTCGCATTACCTCCCTAATGGCATGTTCTAATGCCAAATTGAACAGGACAGGCGAAAGAGAATCCCCCTGTTTTAAGCTCGAACGAACCTCAAATTTTTCGGACAAATTATTACCGATTCTAACTTTATTGAATGTCTCCGTCAAGCACATCCTGACTAGATTTACTAGTTTTTTTGGAATCCCCTGCTCAATTAGAATATTATACAGTTTCTGGCGGTCAATAGAATCGTAAGCCTTTTTAAAATCTATATACAGCTGGTGAACAATACCGTTATACTCCAACTTTTTCTCTAATATTTGATCAATAGTCGAACGATTCCGTCTAAATCCGCATTGGTAGTCTCCGATAATTTCCTTGGCGTATTCCGTGATTCGACTGGTTAAGATTAAAGTGAATATTTTATAACATACCGGAAGGAGTGAAATTCCTCGATAGTTATTACAATCCGTCCTCGGACCCTTTTTGTGAATCAGAATAAGAATAGATTCTTTCCATTCTTCAGGTAATTTCTCGTTCACCCAGATCTTTTTAACCAACCGATGTATTTTAGAAACTCCAGCTTCCCCGCATGCCTTAATTAGTTCAGTAGGAATATTATCGATTCCCGCTGCTTTATATGATTTTAATTTTCCGATAGCTACTTCAACTTCCTCTTTACTTGGCCCTTCTATTAACGGTTCAGCACTCTGGTACTCAGAAGGAGGACACAGATCATAATTTCCCGTATTTAAAATATTGTCAAAGTGGTCCTTAAACTTATTCAATATGTCAACCGGATCGGTCAGAATATTGTTATTATCATCCCTAATTCCAGACGTTACGGGCCCTACATATTTACGTGATCTGTTTATACCTTTGTACATGTCTCTTACGTTATTTTTGATTCTATTAGTTTCTATTTCAATTATTTTATTTTTAAGATACTCCTTTTTTTTATTTTTGAGCAATTTTGTCGTTTCGTTCTTTGAGATTCGGAAGTATTCCAGATTGTCTTCGCTAGGATTATTTAGAGCTTTTAATTTTAATATTAACATTCCTAATTGAAAACAAACAAAAAGATTACCTATTTATTCATTAAAAACAATAGACCAATCCAAAGCAGAAATATTTTTAGATGAAAACATGAAAAAATCAAGTGGGTGGAATTTTTTGCCTGTCAGTGTATAATAAATAGAATCTTTATACCCTTTTTTTGGTGCATACATGTAAAACATATAAAATTATGCCTAATTTGGTTGATTTTAATTTTAATTTTGATATAATAATTATGTTATAAATATAAGAATATAAAATTATGAATTTTTAGTAAAAATCTAAAAAAATTAAAAAATTAATAGAGCATTTAGCAGATGAGATTTTTGTTGTTTTAAATTCACCTCTACTTCAGGAAGTCTATAAACTTCTTGTTCGATCCCTAGCTTAGCTCCTTTAGATCCTTTGCTCTTCTTCACAAGAAGCAGTCCATCTCTCACACAATACTGTAATTGCCGAGAAACTTCCTCTGTAAAAATTAAATACAGCAAATTAATACCTGATATTGATATTTTAATTATGATGGTTATAGATAATTCTAACATATTACTTTCTTACCTTCAGTGACAGAATGTGTTCTGCTCATATATTTTGCTATCTTTTCCAATGTTGGGACTTGATGTTGACATCTTGTTACTTTTACGGCATCCCAGAGTTGCTGAACAGCTTTAGGGCAGGACATACGTCGCCGGTACATGGATTTTAACAGTCTATTGAAAAAACCCAACAATAAGTTATATTACAATGATGTAATATTAAGGTAACACTAAAAATAATTCAGTTTCATTTTACATAAAATCATTATTTAAAGACAACAATAAATAACTCTAAAATCAGAGCCCTAATATCAACCATCAACAATATCAATATTATTTCATTTCATAAATGTACATCTTAAGGTAGTTTGCTAATCACTAAAATAAATTTCTTAAGGTTAAATAATTTTCCTATTTATTTGATTATAACAGTTTTTAAGCTCTGCTGTCTTCTTTCATCAATTTGGGGTATTTTGTTGATTAATAGAAATAAACTAATTTTGTAATGATGTAAACAGTTATTAAAATAAAAATAGAATTTTCATTTAAATATTCAATTTTCATGTACCTGACCTGATCTGCTTCTGCTTTTTATCATGGGTAATTGAAATTATTTGTATCTGATTTTGGAATGGACACCGTAGAATTTGTATTAGAAGACTGTGGATTGCTGTTTTTACTTTCATTTACGTATACAGAAGAAGAAGAAATTTTATTCTGAGACTTAGTCTCCTTAGTATTCTAAGGAGACTAAGTCTCAGAATAAAATTTAATAACTACCCATATCTCCACCCACATATATTGTTACAGTAAGGCTCGAAATCGGTTTTGTACCAAATATAAGCTCCTGTCATGGTCAAATACAATGAATGGGGTAACGTTGGATTCAGAATTTCACGGAGGGTTAGCGAATCGTATTCTCCACTTTTGTTTTTCTTTCTAATATAAATAAAGCTGATACAAACATTTTGTTAGGCTTCAATACTGGAACGGTGGTAGGTCTGTAGATCGATACGGGACAAATTGGATTTTGAAGATTTTGATGCATACAGCCAGACCCGGATAGTTCCTCCGGAACTATCGGATCCGTTTTAAGCCCCAAAACATACTATTTTCGAGATAACGCAAGGCATAGGGTTCGCATCCACACAACCTTACGTTAATTTTAGTACTGTCATTGAATACATGTCTCATTTCGTCGACTTGAGGTCTCTATGATCCACGGGGGAGGGAGGGCTTTCGAGCTGAAGCCCCCCCTCCCCCTCCAAAATGATAAAATATAACCATGTTTTATGGAAAAATATATAAAAAAATTATCTCTTAAAGTATTATTGTTCGTGTAATTACATTTTAAAGGACTTAAAGAATCACTTAAACACCATTTCTTACAGATATTTAGTTTCTTTCTTTTTTTCCAAAGTAATTACCGTCATTTTTATGAAAAAAAAAGCTTTCGGGCTGAAGCCTCCCCCCCCCAAAATTAAATTCATGATCCGCTAGTGCTGTGATCGAGAGAGGAGGAGTTTATATTATTTATCGATGGTGTTTTTGATCGGCAAGCCATATCATTGTTAATTTTTTACAAATCTCAAGATTGAGCCACCAATTTCGAAGGCTTCCTTCTCCTTCAGGCGGGCAAAATAGTCCAATCACCTCGAAAATTCAGGCAAACAAATTATGAAAGAAAACAAACTTTATTTGCGAATAACTGAAAAATTACACACTTTTCCCTCGATTATGCCCATGATTATATAAAAGATTACTAAATTCTCTGCAAAATGAAGAAAAAAAAATCATCGAAATCGGACAATTTTTAGCAAAGATACAGCTTACTGGAATTTGTAAACATGTTGGTTCCAAACAAAGATGAAGATTTAAATTAATTTTTGTTTCCTTTGTCGATTATATTTATCAATAAAGGAACAATTGATTTCTTTATCTTTTGATACGTTTCATTATTTTATTTTCTTAATAATTTGGCATTTGATAACAATATGCTGTGCGAATTTTTCGCACGGGCCTACTAGTGTACAATTAATGACAATTGCCTGACATTAGGAATAAATTAAATTATATGATTGTCAAGATCTAAGGTTACAATAAAGAAAAGGCACTGTTAGATATATGAAATCATAGATAAATTCAGATATGCTATTTCACATACTAGTACACATAAACAATGAGGGTGATATATAATTATCAGTCAGATAACATAAAGCGACAGACAGATCTGAAAAACGTGAACATTATTTTATATATATTCGGAAGATTGATTACTGAGGAGATGGATAAGTAAACTATGTTTAAATGAGGTCAAGAAGGATGATTTTTGAATAACTAAGTCCCTCAAAATGGTCTAAATGTGAGTATCATAAGGTGACCAGCCTAGCTCAAAAACGATAAGTGTTATGAAACTGAAATTACGTACTCGTTAATGCTGCATGTTACAGCAACTTTTTTCCTAAAATCGACTAACCGGAAGTGCCACTTTATATCATCTAATTAACACTTTTTTTTTTTTTTTTTTAAAGGCTCTAACGATTTTTACTTGCTTAATTATAACATTAATTTATTGTGATAATAACACACATAGATTAAAATGGAAATTAAATGTTTTGAATGAGTCTATTTTGTATTACTTATAAATAATTTTAAGTAGTTTAAGTTTGATTTTAATTGAAATTGAAATTTTGTTTATATTAATAAATGCGGATTTTTGAATCGTGATTTACTCTTTGTTTATTGAATTTAATTTTATGTAATTATATTTTTTCCTCAAATGTTTAATGGCTATGGTCGAATTTCGACCGCTGGACGAACACTAGTTTAAATAATTAGGTATCTGTCGTCCGTTTATTCCGAAAAACCATCATGTAACCTTTTAGAAAATTAAATTAGTGAATAATTTTCCCTTTGTGATATTCCAACAGTATCCACTTACCATTAGTGTGACAACTTTTGACCTGTATATGTCAGACAACGTAAATCTTTTAATTCAATTTTAGCAAACTTTGCACCGGACAATAACAGTTTAATAACTAATAGTCGCACAATCCATAATCAAAGAATCGTACAACCAATAAACAACCGGTGATATAATAAATAGGACTTTTGTTATTTTAACGGTATTTATGATTTTTTAGCTTTAGCTCGGTTAAAACAACAATTAAAAAAAAAAATTATAATAGCCCAACATGGCAAGAAAATTATTTCTATTCAAAGTTGAGCGGTAATTGAAATTTGTGTGTTGAGCGCACCAGACTGTTTGTTCATGTTGGTGTAAGGGTGGTTATTCTCTTTCTAGGCAGGAATTATTTTATGCAGTCTCTGCATCGGCCATTGCAAATATTCTCAACGAATATCTTCTGCAAAAATTATGGCCACCCATTTGCAATGAATGCTCTGTGATAATGATGCACACGAACATCGGTGGAGTTATCAGGAAATCACAAACAGCTATTAGAAGATAACGAAAAAACTTTGAAAAACAGGGTAGAGGTGAAGATCGAATAAATAAATAATTGCCTAAATTAAGTATTTTTTAGTAATAGCTTCCTATTCAACAAACAATGGGACTTACTTTACAATATAAATTTTACATAATTTACTGAACTTACTAAAAAAACACAAAACTTGAATTTTCTGCGAAAAATTGACCCATAGTACATATCAACTCTTTTGTAACTCTTGAGCTCAACTATTACCCCTTAGATACTTGCCTCTACTTACGGAACACCCAGAACTTTAAAAACGCATTATTATTTTACATTTTTAAAACAAACCATAAATTTATAATACACCAAGGATAAAATTGTCTTAAATAACGCTGGTAATGCTTCAGAAAACAGTTAGAAACTCAAGCACATATTGTACTCACGAATATAAATAAATATATATTGGGTTGGCAAATAAGTCTTTTCGGTTTTTCTATTTATTATTATGTCACCATGATACTCTTTTTATATCACTATGATACTTCTTATCTGATGAATTAATCCCTAAGGTGGCTTGTTTATTCTGTTTGTAATATGTCAACAACTATATCTGTTAATTCTTGTTGAAACTAGCTTAGTATTGTGTTTGCTAATGTACTGTGAATATGGAAGAAAATATCATGCATTATCGGCATATTTTGTCGTCTTATTTTAAAAAAGGTAAGCGTGCTGCATAAGCTCGTAGGAAAATTTTCAGTGTTTCTGGGGATGATGCCTTAACCGAACGCATCTGTCGAAATTGGTTTGCCAAATTTCATTCAGGAAATTTTGACATCGATGATGCTTAATAGTCTGGTCGCCCATATGAAATTGAAACGAGCTATGTTAATGCCATTGCTGATCAAAATTCCACCCAATCAGAGCGAGAGATTGCAATGGCTAGTGTTGCCCAAATGCGAGACCGAGACGAGTCTTGGTCTTGCAAACTGAGTCTTGGTCATGGGCTTGGTCTTGCGCAAGAGTCTCGCAATAGTCTTGCAGTTACTTATTAGATTATTACTATTGAGATATTACTGTATTTTTTTAGATAGGAGAAACCTAACTAAGTTCGAATGTAAAATTAGAAGAGTTAAATGCAAAAGTATATTGGTTATACCAGTTATTTACACATACTAACTAAGATTGCCAAGTATTAGTAATTATTTTGCCTTAATTTTTCTTTTAAAAATAGATTTTTTTTACCAGTCCTGGTCTTGGTCTTGCAACAGTTAAGCGGCCTTGGTCTTGGTCTTGCAAAGTGCAAGACCAAGACCGATTTTGTGCAACACTAGCTATGGCCCTAAATGTGTCACACAAAAGCGTAAATCATTTGCACAAGCTTGGATATGTTTCCAGACTTAATGTTTGGGTTCCTCACATGTTTGTTTTCGAAAATCACAAAAAATGTTATAACTTTAATACGACTTGTATATAGGCATTAAATACAAAATAAACAACAACATTCATATGGCTATGAAGAGCAATAATTCATCTTTCCAACGGATACAGTAACATCGAATTAGGAGAACATCCTAAAGAATTATGAATGATCGGAAGGGTGTTGTGTTCCACCAAGACAACGCTAGGGCCCACACCTCATTGGTCACTCACAATAAATTATTGAGCCTTGAATGGGACTTTTTGTCCCACCCTCCCTATTTACCAGACCTAGCTCCAAGTGACTACCACTTATTCCGGTCT